ATATCGTTTGGTTTCATTTATTCATTGGTCATTATATTGGTTTCCGCCAAGGTGTAGTCAAAAAAGTATAAAACTACCAGCTACATTAATATATATATTTATATTTTCCCTTTTGTATATTTTGTCAACATCTATATCCAGTATAGCTTCAAACAAACCTGGGATGAATTTCAAATAATTTATTTAATTTATTACAATAACAAATACAACTAAAAACCTCATGGCCTTACCAACTTATCTTCATAATCAGACAGATATTTCTAGTTGGGTTACTTATCTAAGGCATCTGAGAGCAAGGTTACATCTTACAAAACATTTTGAACAAAATAAACAAACGTGACTAGGTGAAAGTGGCCATTTTGTTTCTACAATCCTGTTGCCCTTACACGGGCTGGTTCCGCAACCCTCCACAATACAACATACCAATAGACAAAGAATTATATAACTTCATACATTGGAATACTTAGTGAGACGCGTCTGCACTCATACTACGGCTTGACGGGCCGTTTGAAACTTTACGTCAAACTGAACAACATTGTTATGCAGTGCAAACGTAAGGCATACATAATTACTGAAGGAGAAAGGTGGGAAACAATGTAATAATCAGTGTAATATAACTTGGATAATTGCCATGTTCTCACATGAATTGCTATGATAATTTAAATTGGCTTAATGTGCTAGGCATATCTGAATATATTACAAAAAAAAGTCTTAATGGAAAACAGATGTATTTTTTTTCTAATTGAATTTAATATCATATGCACAAGTAACACATACAAATTTGAAATAATGACGTAAATTTACAAATTAAACAGTTAGTACTGATTGACAACTAGTATCTATAAAATGATTTATATTGTTAGTATGTCTATTGTTTACGTCTATATGACAAAATACAGACACATAATACATAGTTTGCCGATCAAGGGGTCATATTTCGAAAGTAAAATGTTTGACCAATAAACAAGAAATTTGATATATTACAACATTTTGTTAAGTTTATCTATACAATGGGCGTAATATCATGTCGACAAAATTAATGTGCTGTATTAATAATACATTATCTACTAACTATGTATAATGATATTGAGGTGACTACAAATATTATTGACCAATAAATAAAATATATTTTCTACGTTTAAATTAAATGTGTGTGCGGATAATTAAGTATAAGTTATTTCACTATTTACCTTGCCCTATATAAATATGTACTTACCTTTTTGCTACTACTGCAAGTAAGTTTTTAGACTTTCAAATATACCTAAGACGTTTATCAACGCCCATGTTCTTGATTGGACGATATGGTTGGTAAGGGACAAACACCTGAGAACAACAAAGAAAAAGCGCTGCGTTCAATCAAATATCATGAAAGAGCTTCTTAGTATATAAAATATGGCTTGTATATATAATATGGCTTAATAACTCTTGAGTTCTGAGAAATTATTAAATATCTCAGTCAAATAGTATTTCGACTGCGAAACATCTAGGTAATCAGCCGACGGATATAATTAGACAACGATGACTCACGCAGATAAACTAGACCAAAAGTAATCAAGCACTTTAAATTCATGGCGGCTACTTGAGATTTTTGTTTGTGTACAAGTGAAGGATTACAATTAGAAAGCAGATAATATTTCAGCACATGCCGAAGTGTCTCGGATAGTTGTGCAATACACTGTATTGTGTAACGACGATGCAATATATGCTAATGAATTAGACTTCCGAACGGACATGTCAATTTATTTAGCGTTGTACGCCTGCGCGCCCCCAATCACGCAAATTTTACCGCGTTCTTGAAAAATTGAGTTGTTTTTTTACAATTTCATACTGTCGGAAATTACTTAAATGTATTTCACATTTCGGTCTTGCTTAAATTATTACATATTTAGCGTAATTACATTACTTAATTACATAAACCAAATTTTGTCTTATTTTCAGAATATCTAGAACTCAATGACCACATGATGTTTTGCCAAAAAATAAAAGTACATTGCGAAAATATCAATTAAAAATCCGGTACAAACTAGGTCAGATTTATTAATTTATATGTTGTGGAGTATATACCTATCCAATCATATTATATATCTTAAATATTATTTATGGCTATTGAGATACGAGTTTTTGCACTCGTTATATAAAATTACTGAGGTGCGGAACCAGAAATTAGCAAATTGGAACGAAATGAACCGATTCATGTGAGCGTGTGAGGGCCGACAAGCGGCTGTAACATACTTACTTAATACCTAGCCAGATTAATTCGTAAAGCATAACTTGAGAAATATTCTAGAACTGCGATAATAAAATACTTAAGAAAAATATGCCGAAAAATTTACGCGAGGTATGTCCACATAATACGAATGTTTCAATGTTTAATTAATGGTCTAATGGCTGTTTCCCGTGACATGGTATTTACAACTTTATTAATATTTAATAATATTTCAAAATATTCCGTGGAACAAATCCCACGTACCATTTTAAAATAAGACATTTTATAAGCATTAATAATTGTAGTTTTAAAAACGTAGTATAACCTTAAAAAAGGTGGAAACTTTAAAATTGTAATTGTTTAATTTTAAATATGTGTAGATTGTATAGATGACTAATTTTAAATTTTCACACGATTTGCAATAATTCTTAGTCTCAAAATTATACAATGAAATAAAATAATTATACCTACAAAAAGTAACATTTATGATGGTAATTAAAATCCAGTTTTAACAGAGTAAATCTAAAATTTGATGAACAAAAATATTTTAGATTTTTTTTTAATGACTTCATCTTCATCATTTTCACTACTAATTTAAACACAATAGAATATTAAAAAGATTTTTAGATTATCATCAAAATTAAATCACTTAATTTAAATGAAAACAAAATTCACAGGAAATTTGTCGCCTCCATTTTGGACTGAACGAAAACTACCTGCGTTTTTATATAGAACCTGAGAATCAATAAGGCATCGAGATTAAATCTTTAAAAAGGGACAACTGCTGAATACATCTTCGGTAGTCCTGACCCATCAATCTGGTGTAATTTATCTATCAAAAATGATAATGGAGAATATTGCTGCGCGGACGCACGCCGTCACGTTGTCGCGTGATTACGTCACTAACTTTCGTCGCGTGAGAACCTTCGCGCATTGTGGCTCGCGACTCAAGCTCGCGCATCACTTTCATTGTTTATACGGAACTCCTCGCACGAAACGGACAGACAGACGTGCGGAAGATAACTTACTCACTCATTTTTACATATCTAATAAAGAGCGTAACATAATCTTCGTTGTTATAACACGCGGTAATTGAACTTTGTTACAACCTTCACGCTTGAATGCAAAGAGACAACTTAACAACGTCGACCAATACTTAATTGGCCTAACTTCAACACCCACAGGCTCATCTTACTGGTTATCTAAATTCTGAACATGATTCTAAGCTCAGTTTAAATCCAGGCGTCCGACAACATCGAATGCAAATCTCTCCTCAGTATGCAACAATATTACCTGCTTTACAGGAAACCTTTATTTTATATCAAGGAGCTGAGATTATATAGTTCGTTCATATGCAGTACTTGCAGCAATACGTTACAGTTATAATAAGCATTAGCAGTATACGGTAAGGAATGCGCATGGGCCGGCGACAGAATGGCGTCCGCTAGTACATCATATTGCACACACTCTAATGGACAGTGTCTAATGAGCTTTTTAACAACGTCTTTGCTTTAACCTAAATGCTAACTTCCTACAGTTAATCTTTTGACAGTCCTACCTAAATTGAATTTTTAAGTAAATACTTTAAGTGGACATTTGTTTTGAATTCGGAACTTCCGAATCAGGTTGAGTTGATAAACCTAAATTAACCTTTAGACATAAAGAAATTATTCACAACCCATATCCGATTAACATTAGCAATGTTCAGGTTACATGATGCAATATTATTTAATGATTCCAAAATAATTTAGCTGCCTACTTAAAACCAGTAGCCAAATTGCAGCAACACTACAATCTACTCTTAATATTGTAAAACATCAAGAGCATCAAATTTATACAAACCCACTAACCTAGATGATGCAGGGTTTAGCAATCGTAACCAGGAAAAAACTGGTCAAATGAATCTAAAGAAATATAATTTAACTAATGCTCTAATGACTATGAGACACACCTACAGACTGATACGTCACCTTATGCTCTTATAAGGAATGAAATAAGTTTGGTTTTGTAGGCGACTAACGAAGGTCTTATAAGGAATGTAAATTACCTGTGATTAACAAGGTTACCAGTATTTCGTTGAATGCGGATTTGCGCGCCCTCAGAGCCCACACAACGCCTTTGGTGACACCCACGACTTGTACGGTCACCACCATCCGACCAGACCCGCTAGACCCCCAACATGCACAAGTGCGCAGTGCCACCGCCTCCAGCTTACAAATTACACGTGGATAAATAACTAGTCGCCTACACACTGAATGCTCAGTATTAAAGCAGGCTGATCTCATATCTCGTATATCTGTCACAATATTCTCTTGATTGATATTTTAATTGTAAATTGATAAGCGTGAATCGTGCGCAAAAACAGAGAGCAAAAAATATCCATTACGGAAGTTTGTAATTATTGTAATCCATCTGTATATTTTTTGCACTGCGACGAATCCATATCAGGGTCTTCCATACTTGACAATTCCTTTTGCAAAAATCCTAAGATTTTTATTTCTATTTAGTTAAAAGTGAACATTGGTCCTTACTTAGACTGCCATCGTAACCTGACAAAATATGATCATTGACTCAAAACACGACAAGTGGGCGTTTGTTCCCGGCGCCAGTGACGCCAACTCAGTCGGGCAATAGTTTTAGTGTTTGTAGTAGTTTTAGTAGACCAATTCTACGAAACATTGACTCAGTGTGCCTACTCAACTTAATGCACGTTAAAAGTAGCATAAGGATAAATAATCGAAAAAAATGCAAATTATATGGCTATAAGGTTTTTATTCGAATTAGTATTCAGAACTTAATACTTATAAGGTTCAGCAACACCTCCAACGATAGGTCGTTCAACAATAACTGGTTCTTCTGTGACTATGGGTTCGGGGACTGGTTCTGCTGTTACCGGGACTGGGAGGTGGTTTCCTTCGACGTGGGTACCATCGAGACCTGCAGAGTACTTAGTGGCGTATATCTTGCCATCGTCACCAATGTATGAGACTTCTCCTTCGATAACCATGACGTAGCCAGTGCCGTCAAGGTTTGGTACGAGCCGACCGCGTTCCGATACCACGGTTCCTTCAGCCGTCACATACCGTAAGGCAAACTGACCATACTCATCATGGATCTCCTCATGATCCAAAGCTGGCAGTGTCCGACGAGATTCATCAACTACTGGTGCTGCTGCGGCTAAAGCCAATAGAGCCATAAACATCACTGACTGAAATAAGAAAGATCTGTTATTAATATCAACGATTCCGTTGATTACAAAATGTGAAATTGTATGTTTGTAAACGCACCGTTTGAGGCAACGTTTTTAAAAAAAAAACTGTATTTACAAATTAAGGCGGAGGAGTACTTACGAATGCCATGTTGATTTATTTTCTAATTTCGTTTTTGTTTCCCGTTTGTGAGTTCGTTGCTCCAATTGTGATCTAATATAATTTTCACCAAGAAGGTCACTCTTTTATACCACTAAATCAATTTGTGTTTCATAATTTGTACAAATGATGACCGGCCTGGAAGACAATTACTGATGAGCCTATAAGAATAATAGCAATACGATAATTGGTACAAGCTGATTAACTAAATTACCGAATAATTTGTAATTTAAAAACCAAAGGTATAAATCGATGTTTAATTATTTAAAATTACATTTACATGACTATAAAATTAAAAAGAAGAACTCGCGTATTATTAAAAGGACATTCTAGAATTCATAAAATATTTTCCTTAACAAAAATTGGCAGCCAAGCTATGCATGTACCGTTGCTGGGCCTCGATCTTATTCGAAACAGTAGAAAATTTATACATATAAACAAAGGATTACAGTAGCATACTGTAATCATAAGAACATAGTATGTATGTATAGTATATTGCAGATATGTTAAAATGTGAAATAAAAACTTCGATTTTATTTAACCTCTTTGTTGTATTTTGTTCCGCCGCATTCCTCTTTTTGTTGCATTGTTTAATTATAATGTGTCAGTACCTACATTAACATATAACAATAACACTCCTACATAATTAACTAAGAGATGATGTCAACGCGATGCATCTGTTACTCGTACCTTTGTATAATTTAATTATTTTTATGTATCCGGGTGTACGTCAAAATTAATTATTTTCTAATTAAAACTGTTTTTGTGCATTCGTATTTCCTTAAACATTAGTTTATTCCGTGTACATGTTGACAAAAAAACATGCTTAGTGTAGTAATTCTAATGTTTTTGTATTTTAATAATCTATTCAAAGCACCTCTGTAAAACTGAAAATCATAAAAACTTAACATAAACTGAAAATAAATGAATGTTTTTCACACATCAATTATCTATGGGAAAACCCAATTATTAAGACTAACTGCGTTAGGTCGACTGTGACTAAACATCATTTGAATAAAAAGAAAAGAAAATTTAGGTACTTTGAAATCATAAAGCGTGTCGTGATAAAATAAGCACAATTCACCGTGTAGGTAAACATTATAATTTATCAAATTACGAAGGCAGTATGTGTTAGGTCGTATATTTTCATAATCAAGCAAAGCAATAATGTAGCCAATGATTCCGATAAAATATAGTGTAACATTTTAAAACTAAAGTAGGGTACAGATGTCTCTAATCATCTCCAGGCCTGGTCATGGAGAAGGAGCAGGAAGAGTTTTACACCCTCTCGCACCACCTGGGGCGAGAGAAGCCATTTGATTTTTTTTTAATTTTTTAAGACCCAGTATTGACGATATGCCAGGATATTGCTCATTTCCTTATGAACTGAATATTGTAGGAAGAAGTAAGTGATGAAATGAACGACCTCATATAAAGTTTTAAAAGCAAATTACATTACTAGTTCTATTACATTCTGTGATCAAAATAAAACTGCACGATTTAAGTTAATGTTATTCAGACGGAAATTGTTCCTAGTCAATTATAGCGAAACAAATAAGATCGTAGATTCGATTTTTTGTTTAGTACATTCCATTATTTAGTCATGCACGTAAACGTTTCCGTGTAGGTCCTTAGTTTCCCGCCCACGTATGAGCCGAGGTTGTTGTGGTAGGCACCACAAGTAGGCAACTGACAAACACATTGATATTCCATGACACTAGCCATGAGTAAGGCTGACATGGTTACTTAGTTAGTCCTTCTAACTACAACAGCAATGGACATTTCCTTGTACGGAAGATGTCATACCTAACATCAGTATATGATAAGAAACATTTAGTCCAACTAAATCTAGTTATAGTAATAGTCCGTCAATCTATTCGTCAGTGTAACTTGGTGCTCGTTCCAAAGTGAAGATTCCAATGGAAAAGAACTAGCAAAAATCTCCATTTTAGTAGCATCACTCTACTGTTCACGTGTCGTAAGACTAGTCCTTGTTCTTGGTAGCTTGATACAAATAATTAGTTTGAAAACGAACTTTATACACTTTGCTTTCCTATTCACGACAGTTTTTAACATTTCAACATTATATTCATGAAAATTATTTCCGAAACTTATTTTACTTTCATAGTGTTATGTCCATATTAATAGGAGTTCTGTATATTTTGTTGCTTCATAGCGACCTTCGGGGCTGAGTTAACATCTATTGTTGAACAAATTACTGATTCCGTCTCTAATTCGTGGCAGACCCATTGTCTCTCAGTTGCCCGATTTTACGGGTAATGCACATCACGAGACGAGGAACACACAGATCTACCTGGTTAGGAAAAACATCGCGTGGAGAATACAAGCGTTGTTACGTCATATCGGTTACAGCTAATTACCGAGCGTGGTAACTGCTTTGCACTTAAGGATTTTCCCGCATAACATTAACCTAGTCGAGTAGCGTGTTTTCGATTTCCATTTTATAAATTTACAGATGATTTCTGGTTAACGAAAAATCCTTGTTTTGTGTATCCATTTAAAAACGTTGTTAGGAAAGTGCTAACTTGAGTCACATGTAAATCTTTTGTAGCTAACAAAATATTTTTTGTTTTCATTTTAACAAGAACCTCGTTAGTAATGCTATTTTAGTATACTATAAAAATACATATATTACTTGACAATGCTCAATAACGCTCAAAAGATATAATAACAGCCATTCAACAATAATATCAGTTTATTCAGATGGTCCTTGACACCACTTAATAAACAGCTATTACCAACAATCCCTAATCCCACGCTCGCCTAACCCGCGTCAGAATCTGTACACTAATCAGTAATCAGCTGCAGACCTTGTCTTAACCCACAATAAGCAAGACTTAAACTATATTGTTAGAGTAGACTGATCTCAACCACGCTACCAGATAAAAACAAGTTACATAGAAAAATATAAGCTATGCTTAATTTGGTGTTTTCATTGTTAGGCAGTGTAATGCAAGTAGTATGTTTTGAAATTTTGGGAATTAGCAATGTTTGTGAATAACAGCTCGGATTTCAAATATTTTTCCTTGGACCGTTCTCTATAACAATGAAACTAATGGAAATTGATATTATGTCCACACTTAGCTTATAATTTTATCCTAAATTGTGCTCTATACAGTGTCAATGAATTAAAACTTTATTATTTAATATAGAAATTACATACCGGATAGTACTAAAATCAATGCTGTAGTCTCGAGCCTGCGTGCCTAAGCCACAGCTGATTCGCCTTTTGCGCTGTGACGTATTTCCTTATTTTCATTTTTATATTATTTGGAAGTTTCTTGTTTTATAAATGCATAATATTAACGACACTTTTGACACCTGACACAATTTTAGAAATATCATCGTCATCTCTACCTTTAATGACATCAGTAATATGTAAAAGAGTAGTGTATAGTCTTGTGTGTTCTTTTATGACGGGTTGAGAGAAAAATAAACTATTACGAAACTTTTCAAAAACATAGCACGAAGATTGTTTACTACATGATACGAACACAATATATATCTCGTGTTCAACTGTTTGAATTGATCAAGGAGGCAACCGCCTAAGCAATCATCTAATCCTAATGCCAAAATGATTATATTCTAATTATATGAGATAGTACATAGCGGGGTGTTGAATGCAACTCGTTTCGAATGTGTAGGATGTAGAAGATTAATTGTTCCTTGCAACACATAGACTATTTATAGATAAATAAATACTGTATAGATTTTATTATTCGCCATCCAAGACACTCATTCATGTCCCTAGGACGCGCTGGACTTCAGTGTTTCGGTGTTTTCATGGTTGTGTTTATTTTGGAAGGATGTGGAAAAAAAAAGATAGTATAGAATATAAAATATGAAGAGATTTTGTAGACCTCTGAACACCATCTGAACAGTAGGGTAACAAAGGCATCAATAGATGGTAGAGAACTCCATAACATGAGACGTTTGCTATGGGTACCTCCTACGAAAACTACAAGACCTTTCAAAGGTATCTATTTCTTTCACAGGTGTGTGCGTGCAGTGTACTAGCTGCATTGGACGGGTACAGTCCCCAACAGGACCCAGACCAGTTCCACATTCAAACAGATGAAGATGACGAGCGCTATTTCCTATACCAAACTCACAATGGACAGTATAGGAAAGAAAGAAGGCTTAAGGACGGATCTGTTGTCGGTAAGGATTTCAATAGCATATTATAATATCATGTTTTTATGTTGTCTTCAAAAGCAAGTAACTTTCTATTACCTTAGATTTATTGTGTGGGAGAGCCATGCTTCGGCACGAATGGGTCGGCTCGACCGGAGTGATACCACGGCCTCACAGAAAACCGGCGTGAAACAACCACAGCATTGTGTTTCGCCGTATAAGTGAGGTTACCGGAGGCCCAATCCTTCCCCTCCCCCAATCCCTCCTCAATCCTTAAATCTCCAAATCCCTAATCCCTAAAAGGTCGACAACGCACTCGTAACTCATCCGTTGCGGATGTCTATGGACGGCGTTGATTGCTTACCATCAGGTAATCCGTCAGCTAGTTTGAGGACCTATCTTATAAAAAAAAAAATTTAGACTATTGTAGTCACCATCAGCCTGTAAGTGTCCACTGCTTAGCAAAGGCATCTTCTCACACGGAGAAGTTTAGACATTAATCACCACGCTTGCTTGGTGGTTTAGTGATTCCAAACTTATAAGTCCATGTTTCCTGATAATGATTTCCTTCGTCTTATGCCACTTGGAACAATTTCCAGGTTTTGAAGTTGCATCCTAATGCATAAAAAGTGGGTGAAGGATCTCAATAGCAAGTCACAATATCTATATGCTTTTTGTTGTCTTGGAATGCAAATAATTTGTATTACCTTATATTAATATCTTGTCTAAGATTTATGGAGGATAATATCGATAGGTTTTTTATAGAATCATCATATTTCAGCATAAACCAAAATAAGAAATAACCCTACTCGTTAAATAGCTATTTTCAAAAATCACCTAGTGAGGTCACCTTTGTAATAATAGAAAGCCTGAGCGTTAACTTTCTCAGACAGTGGGATATAGTTATGACGACGTAGGTACGATATTATTAATCGTGTGAGAAGTACCTTCTTCTGCTTTCAGTCCATCGAGGCCTTTCTTACCATACCTGCGTCGTTAAATATTCATCGAAATTATCTTTAAATAAAAAAAAATGGTTTCTAATTTTAATAATATTCAATATTTCGTCTTAATTGTAAATAATATCAAAGTACAGGCACTATTCTTTGGACAACATTTTCTCAACGTAATAGATACATTTATATAGGATAAAACTGCTCACAGACAGACAGCCACGAAATAAGACAATTCTTTCAAATTATGGAATATCTTAGCTTCCCAAGAGAAAAACTAAACACTTAGCGGACTTTTAATTATACATATCTATAGGTCTAAATTCCAAGTTCACCATAAATGTAGAGTAGAGCAAACTTGTATATGTCTTGCAAAGTTCCATTGTCAAGATAAAATGCTGTCGACCTACACATGCCTCACAGTTCATTGTCCCAACACTGATCTATGTAGGTGGGACATCTGAATATGTAACACAGCAATCGCCATCTAAGGAAATAAGGATAAAAAAAATATTTAAATCTATGTTTTTAAAAACAGAATTGGAACTGAACGTAATATATACTTTTTGTTGGTGTTTTCTTTCCGGCGATCAGTTTTGGTTATTATTACCTACCTCCTTTTTTTGTATCCTTTTCGAGTCTTCACTTTTGCGTGCTCATAACATATCTACTAATATATAATATCATTCATGTTCTTTATTTGAAACGGGATTTGCTGGTGACCGAGAAAAGACATGAAAAGCCATTATATAACAATTATAGGTATCTGTAGATATAGTGCACCTGCGGATACATGAGTGAACTTAGGGAATAAAATATTTAAAAAATTAACAATCAGCATTGTTCTTTCTTTTGGGTATCATGAGTAACTGCTTATTTAAATGTATATTCACATAATAATGACGTCATTCCACATTTCAGGAACAACTGGTTGGGTGGGTGCTGATGGATATTTGCGACTCCAAGATTATATCGCTGATAGTCAGGGATACAGAATCTACAAATCAAAAACAGTCTACGTAGGAGAAAACCGACCAATTTCAGTATGTATTGAGCGATAGAAGAATAAATAATATATTATTTAACTTTATCAATTGTACCTATTTTTACACACTGCAACTATTTGGTTTCAGGAATCTTTACAAATAGCAAAGACTGCCCCAACTGATTCTGGTTTTGGAATAACACCTGCACCAGCACCAGTGCCTCGGTACCGTGGCCCACCGCGTTTCAAGTCCACGACTCAAGCCCCACCGCCCTCATCATCATACGGACCCACCTTCCCGGCGGAAGTATCAGTAACACCTCCCCCGCGAAACTACCCACACCCAACGTCAACGCCACAAGTTTACGTTTCACCCAATTCAATCGACTCGTCAACAACGACTTATGACTTTAGACCAACTGTGACACCGATCACAGCTAGTGAGGCTGCTACTACAAGCAGTCCCTATGACTACGATTCATCTAACACTAACACATTAGACGACGAATACCAACCGAGTGACAGCCAACGTTACGACGTGTTTAATCCTAACTCGTACAGACATGCCGATGCCTGGCTACAGCGTCAGCAGCAACTTCAACGGCACCAACAATCTGGAGCAAAAATCGGTGACGGTTATACTCCTCAATTCTCCACATACGATGGATCATCTTTCCGAAGAAATGGGTTCCGTTACTATCTTCCCAAACAATATCACGAGGAAGAAAGTGGCAACTCAAACGAGAGAACTGGAAGTTTCGGCTATGTCGATCCGTTCGGTATTCGTCGAGTGATTTACTACAACACAGCGCCTGGCGAAGGCTTCCAAATACGCAAAAACAATAGGTATGTGGGTCATGATGCGACCCCGTATGACCCTAGGCCCGTGAATTGATGTAGAAAATGTGTGTACATACATGTGAGAATTTGAAGTTACCTAATTATTTATTCATCAGTATTGTTAGTTCCCATGAACTATTTATGTAATAAAGGAGACAAAACGATCTAATCGAACGAAGCGAACAAGTCTTAGCCATTAATTTGATAAATTTAAGTAAGTGTGTAAATTGTTCTTCACGTAAGTCTTTTGGGTCTTGCAAACATACTTGAAGTCAAATAGCTTAAATGGTTTTCGTGTAAGACCGTGCGTTTCACAATGAAAAATCATTACTTTCTTATATTTCAGTGCCATTATATTACATACATATTATAGGTACAAGATAACCGTAATAAATATCTTAAGATATACATATACTTTGTAAAAATCTAATACAGTTGTCATATTTGTAAATAACTTACTCTTGATTAAAGTACAGTTAACATATTTAATGAAATTCGTGTTAGTGTGACGATACGTTGTTGTTATCAGCATCAACATACTTTAATATTACTAAAAATTAAAAAAATACAAAAAATACCGTTAATTTATTTAAAAACTGTCGTCAAAGTATCAGAGAAGGACAGCCACTGGTCATTATGTCTATAATAATAGTCGTAAGGTCTTTGAACTCATCTTAATTGTCATCTAAATGGATTTTCTTGCAAATGGACAAGCGTAGGCGCATCTGAATGACTAAATGATTCTGTATAACCTTTTAGAGTATGTAACTAAAAGGCATCAGTAGCCAGGATCAAAAATTCCAAGCCTCAGAGCATGTTAGCCATGTAATGCGTTATATTCTGTCTGTGTCATACATTTACTTGGGGGACTAAAAATATTTTTGTTATAAAAAAAAACTCTTACTAGAGACACACGTACCTATTATAATATACTAAGCTGGGTGCATGTCTTAATGTCATTACGAATAATTTGTCATTATTCAAGTACTTAATCAGAATTAATGACAACTTGTTGCAATGACAACGTTACAGTGCTGTGGGTAATATTTATAATTTTTGAACAAATATGTTTGTCTAATGAAAAATTTTAATTTAATGTCTACTATTTAATTCTTGTATTAATTCTAATTGTATTGTTCTGTAAAACTTGCACAGCATGTATTTATACTAATTTTATTGTTTTAATTTAATAATGTAAGTTCGTGCCTACATAAATAATTTGTTAACAATTTCTGGTTTTATTTGGAAATAAAAATTGAAAGTAGTAAAACAAGTATTCTAAAATTATTAGCATGCACATTAATAGCAGTTTAATGAATTACCTTGACTTCATTTTTCTTACTACTTAAATGTCATTAACATGATTGTACTTGTGTACTATATAATTGAAAGATCATTAATTAGGCCGGACAGTGCCATTATTACATAGGAAGTACAAGGTTGGTATTACTCATAGTATTTATACTACAAAATAATTTGAGATCCAAATCATATCCAAATTAAATATTATAGTTCTTTTCAGAATGATGATCGCGATACTACTGTGTGCTTTTATCATCCCTCAAAGCCTGGGAAAAGATATATTATATAAATATTTAGATGAAGAATCTCTGAAACCCCTGCCAGATAACTACGATATCTACAAAATTCCATATCTCAATGAGCAACTGATACCAAATGATATTCCTATCGAAGTTGAAGAAATCAAAGATAATAAAAAATACAGTGTGTATCCTGAACCAACAATAAAGATTGATCGTCCTCACATACCAACTTATTACTTGGATAGATGGAATTACTATCAATCATTATTTCCTAGGGTAAAGCCCTCTATTCCTGTGGCATTAAAATGGGAAGATATTGAAGAAATACCAGTAAGTGATACTACCAAACATCATCATACAAGTCTACAAATGCCGATTCACGAATCAACACCATATCCACGTAAATATCGTCTCCATACCTCACCAACGACAACTAGAGCTCCTGTGGAAGAAGAAGAACATACAACACTTGCCTCTGTAGCAAAGGATGATCTGAAACAAGAGACGAGCGGGGATAGCAACGATGTTGCAGCCAAACCAGTATTAGACGATAATTCACCTCATGAAATTATTAAGAAACCTGTTTACCGAGGGAGTTACAAATTCAGTTGGGACGATGTTAACGATATGCATAAACCAAGTCCACCAAAAATGTCAGAACTTAAAGTGAATCCAAACCATGGACATCAGCAAACCACCCATAGTCCTATAAACCACGAGATAGCCCATCCTCCAATAGACCACACTGTCCCGCCTGTTCCTACATTGTCTCCCTGGTATGATGGTTATGGTAAATAAACAATAGAATAATACATGTAAAAAATCAGATGGTTTACCTTATGAGAGAGATTTATTAATTGGTTTTTGATATTTATTTGAACCTATTAAAGGACCATTCAAAATATTTTTATGTTTTACTTATTTCTCTCCCAGTCAACCTAGTAGAGTTTAGTAGGGAACTAGCGAAATAAGGCTTGTGTAAGTTACAAATATAAAAATATAGATAAGTTTTAAAAGACATAGGTACTAAATATACATACATATATGCACACACATAACATAATACAAAATAGCATATGTAAATTTGTAATTATATTACACCAAATCAATATAATAATTGAAGAAGACTTAGAAACTTGTTGAACCACCATCGACACAAAGCCTTCGACTTGACTTTAAAAAAATCATGAACTCATCAAAGTACAGGTGGCGGTGGTGGTTCCTGGTGGAAAGGAATCTTTATTTAGGAAACCTCCTCATTCGAGTTTATATTGGAATAAATTTATTTATTAAATTAACTGTAAAATATATTTAGTCTTGCTTAAAAGTAGAAAAAAGAGTCAATAAAATTAAGGAAGCAGTATATTCAAGTATTTAAACAACACTTCACAATTTCAAATCATTTGAAAATAGATGTTACGTACATTAAAATCAATATACAGTAGACCAAAAAAATTATTTAAAATCCAATTCTTTGATAATATACACAGGCTCATCTAATTCTAAAGGGTCAGAACTCTTGGGTCGGAGAAAATCTGGCAATGAAAAGTGCGGAAATTGGAAGCCAGGGAAGAATTGCGAAAAAAGATCAGCCAAATACGGTTTTGGCTTGAATATTTGTACTATAATAGGACCTTCGTCAACTTCTTCGTCCTTTGATTCTTCTTCCTTTTTGTCTTCTTTAGGTTCCTCTTCTTTTGGTTTTTCCTTGGGATCGGCAGACTGTTCAATTACTTTTACAACATCTTCATCTTTTACTTCCTTCCCTTCTTCATTTTCCTTTTCTATTTCTTTCTTATCCGCTTCCTCTTTCTCCTTTTCTTCTTCTTCTTTAGGTTTATCAATAAGCTCTGCTTCTTCCTTCGGCCGATCAAAATTTTCCTTGATTTCTTTGTCTAAAGAGCTAGCATCTTCGATCACGGGTGGTATTGGGTCAACTAAAACATCTTCAATGATATTCTTATCTTTCTCATCTGGGTTAAGTTCTGGTAGTGATGGTGGAGCTGGTACGTTAGTATGTAGCTGCTCGGGCGTTGGCAACGCTACCACTGACCACAGCAAGCAGAGAACTCCAACGAAATACATCTAAAATGAAGTTTTGTTTTTATATAAACTGACTTTATAGACATATATTGTACTCATATTTATCTATTAAATATTTAATAATTCTGTTCCATCTATATCCTACTAATATAATAACAGCGAAAGTTTGAAAGTAAGGATGTATAAAAACTACTTAATTTATCCGAGTATTTGGCACAAAGATAGATTATCTAGATAAAGATAGATGTCAGGAATGATCCATACACTCCCTTTTACCCTAGCGCAGCACAAGGAACTAGGCACTAAGCACTATCGATACTGCTAGGAAATATTAATAAATAATAAAACAGTAGAAAGCATGTTAATTATGTTTCAATGAATCAAAAATATAATAACATTTCTGTTGGTATGTTTGCACATACTAATCTTATCAGGTTATTTATACGCCTCGTCCAGATAGGCCCTAAATAACGGCTGGAGACGTTACCATCTCGTAGTTGACAGCCAGTGGTTTGGCTCCCGAATCGGAAAGGACTAGGGCTGTGGGTGTGATGGCAGTGAGCCATAATGATTCCTAATGAGTAATGATTTCCCCCATAAAAAATGTATTTTATTATGAAAATAATAAATTATATAATATAATGTAATTTATTTTGAAAATTGGAACCATAAACATTCTGCTTAAGGTCAAACCACTACACGAATGCAGTTGTGTACAAAAGTTTGAAAAATAATTACTTACAGTTACTTTGAATGATACAATAATTTGCTCACCTTCTCACACTGATCAAATCAAATCAATAATTTGAAGACTAGGTTTGCTCTTATATAAAGAATATCCAGACAATTAATGAGCAATGCAATTAAAAACACATTTATATCACTTTACCTAAGATTAGAATAATAGTGTGGTTAAAATATTAAATTATGGAAACGTCATTATTAAATTTCCACGAAAACATTTATAGCAACATGACCTTCCCTACCTACAAAATGTCCTAGTGGAGATCCTCCGTGACGTCATTGCCTCGTTGCCTATGCATCACTCAAATCCTAAGCGGACACTGGTATCCTATTTCACCCACTCCATTATAAGGCCATAATTCCGATGCTTAAAGATTAAATGAAAGAGTTTATGAATTTGGGGGGCTGGGCTAAGAAAAAAATAGTATACGATTTTTTTGTACAGATAGAATGCATATCAGTTTTAGCTTACTACCCTGAAAATTGGAATGTTCCATTAAAACTTCTACTCCCTATTTTACGGAAGTAGGGATTAGGAAAAGACAAAGTACATATCCCTTGTCCGTCTTTTTATCCTATGTTCAATGATCAGCCAAATTCGGTCAGCTGTCGTTGAGTTACTGCTTAATAGTAACTAACACGACTTACTTTTGTAATAAAAGATATATATTGCGACATTGGAAATATTAAAATCTGCTATTTAAGAACATTTATAATGCATAAACATTAACTCGAGTTTAAATAGTAGTTATTTAAAAAAACTTCATTATTAAAAAGCAATGGTAATTCGATAAGATGGACTCTAGTAGTAGTATATTTTACTTTTAGAGTCCGAGAACTCAGATCATGAAATATATAAGGCGGGTTAAATACTAATTAATACATCAGGAATATAAAACAAAAATTGGGTTTGACTTAATTTATTCACTGAGAAAATCGGTAAAATTATTTGACGGGCTTGGGTTCAGGAACCTCTGGAACTTCTGGGGCGACTGGTAAATGATCACCCTCTGCATGGTACCCGTCCAATCCTGCAGTGTACTTAGTGACGTATCTCTTGCCATCGTCGCCTATGTAAGATACTTCTCCTTCATATACCATGACATAGCCGGCACCATCTAGTGCAGGAATCAGCCGACCGCGCTCCGAGACGACGGTACCTTCTGCTGTCACATACCGCAAGGCAAACTGACCAAACTCATCGTGGACCTCTTCGTGATCCAAAGGTGGAAGAAGTCGATGAGAATTTCCTTCCAGTGGAGCAGCCAAAACCGATGACAGCCCGCACAAGACGAAAAAGGCTAGCATCTGTGAAAATTTAAAGTTAGCTTATTTTTTCATTCCATCTATCAATCATCATCAAGCAGGTGTTCCTACGAAAATTTTTTACTTACCTTATCCATGATGATTTCGGAATTAGATGTCTCGTTGTATTAAGTATCTATTGATAAGGCTGAACTTCAGCTACGATTGATGACTGTTTCAAACTAAAAAGCGTTTTTATATTAGAAAATATATTTAATGATAGTCATCAAAAACTGGATTGAAGTATTGCACACTGAATGTAATTTATTATAATGATTAGGTTAAGCTATTAACCTAATCATTATAATAATGACACTATTTTATAATATACATCACATAGTTAAGTACTATTTTTTAATTTGCAATAAGTAAGGGTATAAGTATGTACCGATGGCATTTTGGAAATTAGTCTGCTTAGAACTCCATCACACAAACATGGTAAGTTTTTTACATTAATCTACTCGAAAAGATTTAAAAATATTGCAATAATTCGCTTTTCTATTTTAAATTTAAAACACAACGCTTATTTATTTTTTATTTTATTTTATAATGATTTTGCTCTACTGTTTTAATACTACTTTTTTACTTCCAGGTTATGTCATCTGTAGTGTTCGCCATAATTTGTGGCTGTGCGTTTAAGCCTGCAAGCTTAGCAGCGATCGACTATGGACCCATTAAAATCATTGTCAGAGAAAGTCCTGATGCACTAACAGACATTATTCATCAAGGTGAAAACTTTTACTTCAAACACCATGTAAACCTTCCACCATCGCATTTCGAAGCTATGGTGTCATTAATACAAGAAGATGCGTCAAGACTTGAAGAAGAAACTGATAAGCTACAGGATATTTTGAAACCATTCGTACGTCCTGGATCAAATTTATCAAAACATAGAGTTTCTAAAGTTGAGCCACTCCCAAAACCGTCTCCTCTGCCAGTGTCAATAATCTTGGACAATAAGGAACCCAAACTCATTATATCAGAACAACAACAAAACCCCAAAGACTCTGCTTTACCACAGCTCTTCGTTTACAGCATTCCTGCAAAAATTGAAGACACTATATTAGAAGAACCAAATATATATAAAGAGAACCCTGTAAAGATTCCAGAAATAATACTTAAGAAGGCGAACGTCGAATCTAATGCACATGAAGGGAACAGGGTGGTACCACAAATTTCTGCATTGCAACCTATCACCACGATGAAACAAGTGAAAGAAGAACCAAAAATAAATAAAGAAAGCATTTTAGTGGATTCAATAGCACAGATGTTACCAACTTTATCATCTAATGACTATCCTGGAGCCATTAAAGTAGTGAAAGAAGAACAACCTAATGAGTTTAGCGGGAAAATTATGGTGGTTCCAGAAGCACCGATATTAAAACCTTTTTCAGTTAACAGCAAACCGGTACTTGTTGAAGAAGGGAAACTAGATGCGCCACAAACATCTCAGAAAGACGAAAGTACTCTACATCTCAGCTCTGTAATCATTTCGCAGGCTCCAATTTTACCACCATTATCAATTACCGAATATAACACAGCTATTGAAACAGCTAAATTAAACAAACCACATGTGCACGAAGACAACCGTGAAGTAATTCCAGAAGCTCCTATCTTGTCTGTACCAGAGTATAATACTCCTCCAGTTGTGAGTGAAATGAAAATAGAAGAATCAACAATTAATAAGGAAAATAAAGTAATTCCAGAAGCCATATTCTCACGTACGTTGGTGAAAAATAATCCGGCTTTTATTGAAGAAGATAAATTAGAAAAACCAATAAGTTTTGAGAAATCGAGAAATGTGATACACTCAAGCCCTGGAATAATTTCAGAAACACCAATGATCACCGACGACATAGACGTAAAAGTCGAAGAACAAAAAGTATCCATGAAATCCGATGATACAGTATACTTGAGCTCTTTGATTAATCCAGAGGCTCCAACATTACCAACTTTATCCGCTAACAACTATGCTACAAGTGTTAAAGAAGTCAATTCCCTTTCTGCCATTAAAGAAAGCAACAAATCAAAAGATACATTACGTCACCTTTCGGAAAATTCAAAAGTTGAGAACATACCAGAATCTCTTGGGTTGCCTTCTCTTTCACTGAAAGATCTATTACTTCACGAACAAAAAGTCGAATTAGATAATTTTGGAGGTAACGTCCCAGAATCTTATATCTCTTCGAAAATTGGCAAAGATAACTGGGCCGTTCTAAAATCCCCTGAGCTACTTAATGAATATGTTTCTAAGAGAAATGATAAGTTAAGTAATGTACCGGAAATTTCGACCTCAGAAGCTTACATTTCACAGAAATATGAAGAAGAGCCAGACATTCCAGACGCACCAACTTTACCGAGTTTATCATCAAATGACATACTCATAGCTGCAGAAGAAAAAGAAAAGTTAAATGAAGAGTCATCTGTCCTTACAAAAGTCTCAAGCTACCCCAAACTTGAAAGTATTCCAGAAGCACCAGTTTTGCCTCCTCTATCACTTGATGATTTGCATCAACCAAATTATAGTAAATTCAGGTGAAATATTATTACCCGACTGCCAAAGAAGGAGGGTAATGTTTTTCGAGTGTATGTAAGTATGTATGTATGTCTTTTCCTTTGTGACCTCCTGTAGCCTAAACGGCTTGATGGATTTTGATGTATGAGGTATCGTTAGATTTGTCTTGATTACGGGAGTGTCATAGGATACATTTTATCCTAAAAGTCCCACGGGATAAGGACATAATAATATTTTTTCTAAATTTCCCTTTAAAAAAATATGTATGCGGTATCATTAGATTCATTTCAATCACGGGAGTAATTAATATAGGATACGTTTTTTCTCAAAATTCCCACGGGAAAAAGTTATAAATAAAAGAATTATTATTAAAAAAACAAAATACCCGACTGCACACTAAAAAAAGAGTAAAACAAGCCCCACAATACAAATTTACTGAATATAATTTATAAATGTTGATGGAAAGCATCGCAGGCGGGGACCACCTTGACCGCCACCAACGAAAATTCTGCTAAATGGTGCACAACAGAAATGACTATAAATAAGCCTCTGTTGGTCCCCGCCTGCGATGCTTTCCATCAACATTTATAAATTATATTCAGTAAATTTGTATTGTGGGGCTTGTTTTACTCTTTTTTTAGTGTGCAGTCGGGTATTTTGTTTTTTTAATAATAATTCTTTTTTATGTAACGTGACAATACTTTAAGACCAGCGGACATTACTCTAAGATTACTAGAATGTCAGAGTGCCTATAAATTTGTAGGATAGCGCTCTAGTCTTTCATGAAAATGAGACTAAGGTGCAAGTTCGAGCAATTTATGTCTAATTAGGTTAAGTAATAAGACAAGTGATTATTTTAAGAATTTTGTATGCTATTGTTAAGGATCCAGTTTTTAAATACTTTGAGAAAATTGTTTGGTACATTTAAATGTATTAAAAAATAAATAACACTTGAAACTGTTTTTCTGTATATCTCATCCAAAACCAATATTTCCTGAACCGCAAAATTATTACTTAATTATAAATCTTTTTTTGATAATCATGTTTTTTTGATACTTAGCGTGTTAAAGACCACTAAAATCAGTCTGGTATTGCATTTTAAGTTTCTTTTTCTATAGTCGTATTACACACATTTATTTGTAAAATGAAGACATGACACATTGTGATATAGGGTTTGCCAAAATTCTACCTATTTGCATTAACTCAACCTAATGGCCGATAGCTTAGATAAATGTCGATCTAAATAACACATTATGATGATGTTCCAAAAATTTTACTTATACGAAACTAAAGGTCGATTAACTTCAATGAGTGCAACACAAGTACTCCAAACTACAGAACTCCAAATTACAGAATATTTTCTGCTACAGTTTGTTTAATACAGGTTTTTGAAAGAAAGGCACAATTAGCATCGATATGCTCATTATTCTTTGATTTACAATATTAACTAACCAATAATTAGTATGGCAATAAAATGTAGCTAACATTAAATCAATATCATGACAACCTCAATAAAACTGCATGGTTCGCGCTGTGGCTGGGCAACTGGCTGCGGCCCAATGTGTCGCGGGTTAGATTCCCGCACGGAACAACTCTTTGTGTGATCCACAAATTGTTGTTCCGGGCCTGGGTGTCATGCGTTTTTTTTTTTGTCTGTAAACACAACTATAACACAGGAAACAAAACAAAGATGGGCAAAGTTTTTATAAAAAAAATACATGTGTTTCTTTTAAAGGATTCGTTATATCATGTCTTTGCTAACAGATACATATAAAAATCTTTTGCAAAAACACTCTCGTTATTTTCTCTATCAATGAAGAAGAACAAAAAACGGTTACAACAAAAAGAACTAGAAAGGGTAGGTTTTATATATTAGATTCATTGGCATCTTATTTGAAGCACTGAAACAATGTTCCTGAGGCTATAAAATATCACGCTACAATCAAACGGAGTCGAGCAGCGCGTGAATAATGGCAAAGAAGTGATAAGGGCCGGTAACATTATAGCCCAACTTGAAGACGGTTATTCGCAAACTTACATGCCTCATTAGCTAAATGTGAATTGTTAAATGTCCAGAGGATTTGACAACGGTATCAAAAGACCGGTTTTGTCAAAAGAAGACCCGGCCCGGGAAGAAAACGATGCACAGAAACAAGAGATGACCTCTTTTTGGTGAGTCAGAATCGTAAAGAGTCAAGTGATTTTGGCAAGAGGATTTGTATCGTATCGTTTGTGTCTTTATTTAATTAAAATAAATAGTTAAATCCAACTACGACAAAACGATGGTAAAACAAGATTTTCATAATACTGAAACGCGTAGTCACACGTTATCAAAGTGCTACGACAGGTAGGATATGTAACGTGTGACGCCGTTGTTGTAACCGTTTTTCGTTCTCCTTCATTGATAGAGAAAAAAACGAGAGTGCCCGTTTTGTTTTTGCAAAAGAGTGTATGTGTATATTACGTATACATATGTTCCAGAAAGTGTAGATCAAACTAAGCATTTAAAGGCACGTATCAGGATAAAACGTACTTCCACACATTTTTTTTCCTCTGGTACTGTTGATGCAAAGATTTGTTAGTTTTATTTAATAGTTTTCCGTGGTGTTCAAAGAAATTATTAGAAACAATAAGTTAACTTCTAGTATATTCTTTTTATTTTCAAACTTATCAAAGATAAATTTACACACCACCTACCAACTCAATTATACATATCAAAAAATTTGTTTAATAAGGTAAAATTTTCAACTCAGTAGTTTGTCACTGAAATCATTGTAAAAGATTTCGTATACCAAAGGAGAAAATCGAAGAAAATTTTCTTTAAGTTTGTTTCTTGTAGCACCACCAAAACAAGGCCATTTAATTAAAGCTCAAACATTATTTTAAAATAATTCCAAATTTAATAATCAGTGGTTTATAAGAATCCGAAAACCACTTACTTTTGCTCAACAGAATATTAACTTGAATACAACAACTGAGAAATGCTCACACTCAGTACGACGTTTGCCATTTACCGTGACAATAACATGCTAGAACATTTTTTTATGCGTTCCGTTGCTGTCCCCGTGAAAACGAAAATAAAACAATTCACACTAGCTTCTGCGAGCGGCTACGAAAGCAGTACCAGTTCAAAAAGCCTATGTCTTATTCTAACCTATCTAGACTATCTCTGTGCCTCTATTCAGATTAGCTATGAAATGTATGTCGTATATAAATAAAATGTAATTATGTATAAGAATAAGGTAACAGACATCCATCCATGCTTACATGCTTTCTCGTTTATAAAATTGGTCTGGTGGCTGGGATTCGAAATGGCGCTTCACAAGCCCGAAGCCATGTGTTTTTCATGACCTTCGGAACGCGCTCCCTCCGGGCGCATCTCGAATAATCGCAGAAGGGGTTACCATCGGTTTTGAGCCGACAATGAGGTACCTCGCGTCCTCGACAGCCGATGGAACTTCGCGGAATATTTAAGACACTTGACCCCCAATTTGTTACATTATTAATAGGAACAAAGGCTGCGCTCAAATCGCTGCTTTCCAATCTGAGAGGGCCAAACGTCTCCTGTCAGAGGTTGTATTTAGGGATCATGTGTTTCACGACCCTCTATGGAGTCCCTATGTGGGTGCCAGATTCGACACAGGGGCCAGCTCGTGTGCTGGTCGCATCCCAGAGGGTCATGGCCATACCAATCATCCGTGGCTATCATATAGTTTTCGGGAGTTGGCGAACTTCCTTGGCCAATTAACGAATGTTGTAAGATTTGCGCATTGAGGAACGTCGCTAGTGTGAAAAAGATGTAAAAGTTTCGGGAGCCATTTCGGTTCGAGCGTGCCCGCACCAATAGATAGCGTGGTACACAAGCACGTATGAGGACCGCCTATAGTGGTGCACCCAGCTTGGGCCGAGCATTGACGTGTCCTGAGGGATGTGATCGGCCTCTCGGGCTCCCTCATAGGCGATAGTGCGGAGCGTAAGGAACTGAGAATCCATGTCCTCTTTCTGCGAAGTAGTCATGATCACAAAGAAGTGGGCGTAGGGTGTGGTACTACTATCCTCCTCACGTACCAGCCGCAGGAGGAGACAGATCGAGTTTCGAGGGTCACGTGACGATCTTCGGCCACCGGAAATGCGGGTTTGCGGATTGCTAGTAGCGTTTCTCGTGCGCCTTAAAGTGCCAACTGACCACTACAGATGGAGCCCAGTACGGCTGATGTTCAAGTGCAAAATTGTGTAGCTGGAGAAGAAACGGGGTGGTTATTAGTCAGTAAAAGTCTGACACTCTCTCTCTCTCGGCCCACCTAGGGCTAATTTAGGGCTTACTTGATGAATTCCCCCTCAAAAAAACCCTTGGTACCGTGTTTGTGCATTAACTTGTCTTGATCACAATTTCATTACTAACTCATTAAAATTTTAATAGAATTTGCAAATGATAATAGTCTTAAACTGCTTGAAATGTTGCGTAATTTTTATTTACTCTCTGTAAATTAATTGGATTTTAATTTTTATACAATTACACTAATAATATAATTATGATAATGTTTTTTAAATAACATCATATAGTCAAGTACTAGTTCTTTAATTTGCAATAAATAAGAGTATATAAATCGAGCTATGACATTTTTGAAATTAGTATACTGAGATCCCCATAAGAAAAATATGGTAAGTTTGTTACAACTATTTTACCTAAAACATCTTTAAGTACATACATATTTACATTTTACATATTTACATTTTTTTATATTAACCTTTTATTTGGTATATGTGGTTTATTTCAATACATTCAAATTTTATTTTCAGATTATGTCATCTGCGATACTCGCAATAATATGTGGCTTTCTATTAAAGCCGGCAAGCTTATCTGCAATCGACTATGGACCTATTAAAATCATTGTCAGAGAAAGTCCTGATGCACTAACAGACATGATTCATCAAGGTGAAAACTATTATTTCAAACACCATGTGAACTACCCACCATCAAATTTTGAGGCTATGATGTCATTAATACAAGAAGATGCATTGAAACTTGAAGAAGAAACCGAAAAACTTCAGGATATTTTAAAACCATTCATACGTCCAGGATCAAATTTGTCAAAAGATAGAATTTCTAAAGTTGAACCACTTTCAAGACCGTCTCCTCTGCCTGTATCATTAATTTTGGAAGAAGAAAAACCTGAAGGCGTAATATTAGAACAACAACCAATTTCCGTGGAACCTGTACTACCACAGACATCGATAAACGACATACCTGCAGTTACTGGAGCGATAAATCTAGAAGAACCAAATGATTATAAAGAGAAAGTGATATTGGTTGAAGATACTCCCGCATTGCCACTTATATCTATTGATAAACATCCTTCAGTTCTGGAACAAGTGAAGCTCGAAGAACCAAAACTATCAGCAATAAACAATGAAATGCTATATTTTGAAAATTATGATCCAGTGATAATTTCTAAAGCTCCAGTAAAACTACCTTTATTGGTTAGCAACTATCCGGTATCAGTTGAAGAAGTGAAATTAGAAGAACCAAAAGAACGCGAAGATATCAAGAATACACTTTATCTGAACTCTGCTATAATAGCAGAACCTCCGGTATTTCGACCTTTATCAGTTAACAAATATCCTGTATTTGTAGAAAAAGTAAAAGCTGCAGAACCAGAATCTTATTCAGTGAGCACTGGAGCAAGTTTTGAAAAAAAAGTAAAAGTAGTGGAACCAGATATATCTGAAAGAAACGAGAATACGTTGTACCTGAACTCTGCGATAATTCCAAGATTTCCAGTTGTGTCATCTACATCGAATAATGAATATCCCACAGTTAGTAAACAAATGAAAACAGAACACCAAAAAGTGTCTGAAGTGGTTCCGCCTGCGTTACGACCTATGTCAGTTAAAGACAATTCAGCAGTTTTTCTTAAACTAGCAAAAATAGAAAAACCAAAAGTATATGAACAGAACGTCGTAATGGTTCCGCAAGCTTCTGTATTGCAACCTGATCTGACAGACAAATTAGTGATGGTAAAAGACCCAAATATTCGTAAAGACGACGTGAATACGCTACACCTAAGCACTACTATTCCAGAAGCTCCAGTATTACCGCCGTCATCTATAAACGACTATCCTGTTAATTTTGAACAAGGCAATGTAGAAGCAGAAAAGCCAAAAGTGTACGAAGAGAATATAAAAGTGATTCCGGAAGCTCCTGTGTTGCTACCTAATGATAATGGAGTTGTCGAAGAACAAACAGTGGAAGAACCTAAACTAAATGAGATCATTGAAAATACTCTGCATTTGAGCTCTATAATACCAGAAGCCCCAGTATTACCGCCGTTGTCTATAAATGAATATCCTATTACTACTGTACAAGGAAAAGTAGAATCAAATGTGCATAGAAAGAACATTCAAGAAGTTCCAGTAGCTCCCATATTACCATCTTTATCATCTCAAGACCTCCCTGCAGTTGTCAAGGAACAAACAATAGAAGATCCGAAGGAATATAACAATCACGATATAGTCATTCCAAAAGCTCCCGTGTTACCGACCGTGTTCGTTAACGACCATCCAGCAGTACTCGACCTTGAACAAGTGAAAGTAGAAAAACCAAAAGTACATGAAGAGAACCTTAAAGTGATACCGGAAGCCCCTATGATGCTACCTAATGATCATGGAGTTGTCAAAGAATCAACAGTGGAAGAACCTAAACTAAATGAGATCATTGAAAATACTCTGCATCTGAGCTCTATAATACCAGAAGCCCCAGTATTACCACCGTTATCTATTAATGAATATCCTGTTACTACTGTACAAGGAAAAGTAGAACCAAATGTGTATAGAAAGAACATTCAAGAAGTTCCAGTAGCTCCCATATTACCATCTTTATCATCTCAAGACCTCCCTGCAGTTGTCAAAGAACAGACAATAGAAGATCCGAAGGAATATAACAATCAAGATATGGTCATTCCAAAAGCTCCCGTGTTACCGACCGTGTTCGTTAACGACCATCCAGCAGTTTTCGACCTTAAACAAGCGAAAGTAGAAAAACCAAAAGTACATGAAGAGAACCTTAAAGTGATTCCGGAAGCCCCTATGTTGCTACCTAATGATTATGGAGTTGTCAAAGAATCAACAGTGGAAGAACCTAAACTAAATGAGATCATTGAAAATACTCTGCATCTGAGCTCTATAATACCAGAAGCCCCAGTATTACCACCGTTATCTATAAATGAATATCCTATTACTACTGAACAAGGAAAAGTAGAACCAAATGTGTATAGAAAAAACATTCAAGAAGTTCCAGTAGCTCCCATATTACCATCTTTATCATCTCAAGACCTCCCTGCAGTTGCCAAAGAACAGACAATAGAAAATCCAAAGGAATATGACAATCACGACATAGTCATTCCAAAAGCTCCCGTGCTACCGACTGTGTTCGTTAACGACCATCCAGCGGGCCTTGAACGAGTGAAAGTAGAAAAACCAAAAGAACATGGAGGGAACCTTGATTTGATTCAGGGAGCTCCTGTGTTGCTACTTAATCATCATGGAGTTGTCGAAGAATCAAAGGTGGAAGAACCTAAACTAAATGAGAAAGCTGAAAATACTTTACATCTGAGCTCTATAATTCCAGAAGCTCCTGTATTACCACCGTTATCAATTAAAGACTATCCTATTACTACTGAACAAGGAAAAATAGAACCAACTGTGTATAAAGAGACCATTCTAGAAATTCCAGAAGCTCCAAAATTACCGGCTTTATCATCTCAAGACCTCCCTGCAGTAGATAAAGAACTAACAACAGAAGATCCTAAGGAATATAAAAACAACATTGCAGTGGTTTCAGAAGCTGCCGCTTCAATACCTGTGCCAGATAACGGCTACGCTGCAGTTCTTGAACAAAAACTACCAAAAGTATCAGATAATTCCGAAAATGTACTATATCTGAGTTCTGGTATAATACCAGAAGCTCCTATACTACCTGTTGTTGAAAAAGTAAAAGTAGAAATACCAGAACTATCTGAGAATATGCTGTATCAGAGCCCTGTAATAATGCCAGAAATTCCAGTACTACCCCCGTTATCACTTAACGACTATCCTGCAACTTTTGAACAAGTGATAGTCAAAAAACCAAATGTTTACACAGAGAATACTGAAGTGACTCCGGTAGCTCCTGAAATGCCATCTATAGTGCTTAATAATAATCCTGCGATTGTTGCTGAAGTAAATGTAGTAGAACCAAATGAGACTGACGAAGCCAGGAATCTGCTATATCTGGGTCCTACAATAATTCCTGAAGCTCCAGTTTTACCACCTTTATCAGAAATCGACTTTCCTCTCGCTGAGAATATTGCAATGGTTCCAGAAGCTCAGCATTTATCTTACGACTACCCTGCAACTTTTGGAGAACTGAAAACAGATGATTCAAAGGAATATAAAAATAATGTCATAGTGGTTCCAGCAACTCCCGTGTTAGTTGATAATATTCCGGAAGTTGTTGAAGAAATAAAAGTAGAGGAACCAAAACTATCTGAGGAGATTGAAAATATGCTGTACCAAAGCCCTGTTATGATTCAGGGAGTTTCAACATTACCACTTTTATCGCTTGGCGACTATCCTACAGCTTTTGAACAAGTAAAAATAGAAGAACCACAGGTAAATGAAGAAAACGTTGTTATGATTCCGGAAGGTCCTGTGCTACCATCTATACTAGTTAATAATAATCCAACAGTTGTTGAAGAAGCAATGGTTGAAGATCCAAATGTAACTAAAGATAACTTATATCGGGAGTCTAACATTCCAGAAGCACCAGTTCTACCTCCTTTATCTTTAAATGATATTATATTTCCTAAGAAATGAATATAGTTTTTGTAACATTAAGATAAGGACAACCCAGGAAGCTCTTAATTCCTTTAGGCAATTTTACATTAATTATAAGATATAGTGCTATGTGATATAATTTAATTTAATTAAAACCATACCAAACACAATAATGGCCTTTAAATTTCATGATACATCTAAATATTATTTTCCAGTGTGGATACATATAACATGTGTTTTTAACATGTTTTAGTTATGTAAACGTTGACGTAATTTTTCAACTTTTTTAACCTTTGGTAACACCTTAAAACTTAAAAATATACTTTATAAGTACATAAATTAACCCTACTGTTTATTGTGGTACCGCTAAACTAATCTAATGGAGAATTCGAAAGGGTAGTAACGACGTTCAGTTTGGTCTTTTGTAAGTGTATTTTTAGTTTTTGAATCATTTATATAATTGAAATTGGCGTTTTTACCTAATAGTATTAAAAAAATGTTTTTTTAGTAACGTTGCTCATTGGCGTATTCGCTAACACTATGATATTTTCGTGTATCGTGGGTTTAGTATGTATCGTGGGTCTGCTTACAACCATGCACAAGCCACTCAGACCAGAAACACAAAGTGTTGTTCCGTGCGGAATTGAGCTCACATCATGTTGCCATGCGACAAATTGCCCAGCCACTGCACCAAAGAGGATATAACCACTATCGTCATTGCACTGCACCAACCGTGCAATTAAATATTTGTATAATAAATAGGTATTAAATAACACAAACTGCTATTTATGTCTCATTTAATTGAAACACTCATAATCAGTGATTACTAAAGTTTGTATATTCTGGTTTGAAAAACGGGAATTACGTTGATAAGTACTTAGGTACTATCGTTACATATACATAGTCTGGCCATAACTATCTTATTCACATCATTCGTAATTTTTAACATCGTTATTGTACGTAGTTAATCCCAATCCAAATACTTATCAATATAGGTAGACTGAAGTAAAAGTTTTTGATATCCGAATACCCGATAAATGTGCAAAATGTGCCAAAAGACAAAGCTAGGCTTAAAAGTCACAGACTAATAGTTGTTATTTGTGATATGAAGCCTGCAAGCTGTTAATGATTCTCCACTAGGTAACACCATATTCACAAAATAAACACGTACTTGCATAAAATGTCCCTGATTCCTGCCTGAATTTTACTATTGGATAGATTGGATACTGTGCACAATGTAATGTGATAGAGGATGTCCATCACTTGTTGGTGGAATGCGTCAACACCTGAGCTGCTAGAGAGGTGCTGATGAATACATTTAAAATTAATTTGATGGATGTTGGTTTTGTTGTGATGTTTGTTGTTGAAGTATGTGTATTATCAGAGCCTGTTTCGAATACAGCTTTAATAAATATTATTAATAATTAATAATAATTAATACAAAATAGTACCTATATAAGGTTTTTAGTCGGAATAGCGTTAATCTTGTATGAGGTTATGATGGGGCTGGCGTGGTCGTATGACCAAAAGGCCCTAAATTTATAGTAGATAATAAAAAAATACATTTTTACATTATGCAACCACCAACAACTGCTGAGCAATTCATCGTCTGGCATGGAGAAGAAATGAGCATTATTCACCAATTTACTTACTCAAAGTGGATTAACGATTTATTATCTTAGATTTAGTACTAAGGTGACCGAGGTTAGCTTGGTATTTTTTAAATCTTCTTAATGAAACCTATCTAGATTGTTTTTTCATCACCAAAGCTAAATTATACAAAATTTTATCAAAATCGTTGGAGCTGTTTCCGAGATTCTGTGAATATAATATAATTCCGTGAGTTAGGTGTAATTAAAAATTATACGTCGGTTGCCTTAAAATGTTTTTCTTCACAGAATGTCCATTGGATCAAAATAAACTTAGAAGTACATACATTATCGATACTTGTGAGCAAAAATCTAATTGAAACCACAAATATACGCATTTTGAAACAATATTACTCACCGTAAAACAAAAATACTGATTTGCGCACAAATTGTTTAATATTACGTACCTACAACGGAATTCCCAAAATTGCGGATTTGCAACGGCATACTTTTAACATGTCATAGTTACGATTGTCATATTTAATATATCGTTTAGCATTATGTTTATTTCAAGGGATGGTGATATCTGAGGAGGCAGTATTTTTATGCTTAAATTTAATTCTACCGAAATCTCAACGTTACAAAATAGTATCATAAACTGTCAATATGTTATGTTAAAAATTGACAAAAACGAATCGCCGCAAAACCGACTTTCCGTAGTCTTGTCTGCCCTACCCCTAGAGTGTAATTTAAAATCGCGTAGGCACGGAGGGGTAGGGCGGCCAGCGAGATGAGGAGCAGGTGGTTTGAAGGCCCGCCACAGGTGGTGAGCGTTGAAGCCATCTGCGACGGTAAGGTCGCGTGGAACCACCCAAACCCCGCAACGTCGGAGCCGTGACAGAAACGATGCTTGCTTCATGCCTGCTTGTATGCAGCATGGTGTTTCACTTAGAATAACCCATGTTCTTTAAAGCATAAAAGGAGATGAACTCCAAAAAAAAAATGTTTACATATTTTGTTGCACTCGAAGTATTATTAGACTTACATTAAGTTTAAAGACAGTCGTTCAGTAGATCAGTTAAGGTTAAAAGATGAGACAGTGTAGTATAATTGATTTATTTGATGAGCTTTAGTGTGCAATTCAGTATTTTTGGTAATAATTCTGAATATTTTGATTGAAAAAAGGGAATTTAAAGTTAAAGTATTAAATACTACCCTTTTTTTTGTGAGGGGAAAATCATCAAATGACTTCTCCCGCCCAGGGCCGGGCAGGAGGGAGTGTCAGACTCTTACTGACTAAAAACCCCCCTGTTCCTTCTCCTGCTCTGTGCCGAGGTCGCGGTACCTCATTGCGCTTACCCCGCAACCCCGGCTGAACATCAGCCCTTTAGGGCCCCGTCTGTGGTGGTCGAATGGCTCTTTGAGGCGCGCGCGGAAGGCTACGCACTGTACGCTCGGGCCTGGTTCTGGTCGGGCGGCGAGCTGCCCTTACTCGCCGACCGCAGGCCCGTGCTTATACGGTGGCCGGAGATCGTCCCTCGATCCCCGACGCCCGTAGTGTCGCCAGTTGCGGCTGCTGGGGCGTGAGGAGGAGGGCCTCACGCGGGCCGCCTCTCTCTTTGCGAGCATGACTGCTTCACAAAAGGAGGAGACGGCGTCCCAGTTCCTCTCACTCCGCACCATGGCCTCGACTAAGGATGGGCGCGAGAGGTCGCCGCCGCCGATCACTTCCCTGAGGATACGGCGATGCTCAGCCCAGGCAGGGCATACCGCTACCGTATGCTCCACCGTATCCTCTAGGTGGTCCTCACAATGACGACACTCGGGCGTTTCCTCCCGCTGAATCCGAAACAGGAACCCTACCGAAGCTGCCGTGCCCGGTAAGCACCTGCGTCAGACGGAAGGTGAGGACGCCGTGGCGTCTCTCAAGCCACTCCTCAAAGAGGGGTCTTACCGCTGCTATGGTAGCGTGCCCGGCCCTCGGTTGCGACAGTCGTTGTTTCCACTCTGTCATGAGATCTCGCCGGAGCTCATTCCGCCACGCACTAATTTGGCGCGGCAGAGGATCCTCGCCCCGGCGACGCGCGTCTGCGCGCAAACTGTAGACGCGCGAAATACTACCCTTAAGAAATTATTCTCACATAATAGAATATACTTAAAAATGAAATAAAGAAACTCATAGAAAAATAATAACCATGGAGGTAGCCTGAACTTTCTTCTCCATCGGAATCCTTGAAACGAGCAAATAGTATTAAAGAAGACTGAGCAATGGACTGCAATTTTTTTTCTTTAATCTTTAGCCATAAATTCATGGTGTTATTGTAATAAATAATTACAATATCAAATTATAAATTAAAATTATTTCAGATTTTTTCACATTTACAGTGAATATGACAGACTAGTTACATTTTGTGTGAAAACAAATAGCTTAGGCTCAAAATTATTATAAATAATTTATTATTTTTTCCATTTTAAAATAAAGTTGTAACATTTATTACTTTTATGTAGTTTTATGATAACCTCAGGGTTTCAGAATAATAAAATACTTGAATTTTTAATAAAATTTATTAAAAGAAGTTATTGTTAGCATTAGAAATCCGTATCACTGGGATGAATTGAGATATCATTCAACTGGCAGGTGTAGGCTCAGGAACCTCCGGAACCTCAGGGGCGACTGGTAAATGATCACCCTCTGCATGGTACCCGTCCAATCCTGCAGTGTACTTAGTGACGTATCTCTTGCCATCGTCGCCTATGTAAGATACTTCTCCTTCATATACCATGACATAACCGCCGCCAGCCGACCGCGCTCCGAGACGACGGTACCCTCGGCTGTCACATACCGCAAGGCAAACTGACCAAACTCATCGTGAACTTCTTCGTGATCCAAAGGAGGAAGTGATCGGTTGGAATATTCTTCCAACGGTGCAGCCAAAATTGATGCCAAAAAGCAAATGACGAGCAAAGCTAAAAACTGTAAAAATCGAAATAATTTATGATATTAATCCATTCACAATGATAAATAATGCTAACATTTTTAACACACAAACTCAACATTTTGTCTTTAACAACGATAAAGAAATAAGTCTTCCCTTGGTCATTGTATTTTTTTAAATTAAGTACTATGTGTTGTTTGTAACCAAGAGTGAACTGAAACGATGATGATTGTATTTCAGAAAAACGCTAATATATTGGATCTTTGCCTCATTTGAATTACTAAAACTTGATTGTTTGCAACATATAATAATGTAAATATAATGTAATGAAATTCATTTAGTACCATTAGAATCCTTAATGTGGTTATTACGTAAACTATATTTTAGCTAATAATGCATTAAGTACCTAGTTCCCTAAAGAGCTCTGGAAGGTATAAAATGCAGACACCATATTCAATTGTATAACATTTAAGAATTGAATCTGATAAAGATGGTAAGTTTTACTTGTTGATTGTATTATAATTTGCTTGCTTTTAAATCATATTGTTACTTACTATAAGTCTTGTCTGTTTTTCTTTAAGGTTTGGTCCGCTGCTGTTTTCGTTTTGGGTACCCTTCTACTCAAGCAAGCAGTTCCAACATCGATTGATTATGAACCTATTCAAATAACAGTTAACGAAAATTTCAATTCACAATCAGGCCCTGGAGATTCGCTCCCTGCAAGATCTGGCATACTTCATCAAGGTGCCAATTTTTACTTCAAACCACAAATAAATATACCGCCAGCTCACATCGAAGCTTTGACATCATTGGTGCAACGGGATCGTACACCAAACCGACTGATTGAAACAGAAAAGATTATAGGTATTTTACGATCACTTCCGACAATCCTAGGTGTGAAAGATGAAAAGAGGGCAGATATATTGAAACTTTTGTCATCTCTTTCGGTTCCTGACGCAATCAAACAAGAAATACCACTTTTAATGCAAAAAATTGGACCCATTACTGAAGCAGTTGCCTTAGAAGAACCAATAATATTAGAAGAGACTACAAATATTATATCACCAAATCCAGCTGTAATGATTCCAGAAGCACCTATATTACCATCTATAGCAATTGAGGAAATTTTACCCGTTGTTGAAGAAGTCAAATTAGAAGAATCGGTGGTATTAGAAGAATCAGCGGCTATGTCTCCAATAACAGAAATTGAATTTATAGTTCCAAAAGGACCTTTGTCAGCCGAAAATAAAATCATGCCAATCGTGGAAGAAGTTGAATTAATACAACCGGTTTTGGTAGAGGAAACTGAAGATGTGTTATGTCTTAATACAGAAATTGGTAATTTTGTTCCCGAAGCACCAACTTTACCGTCAATTGAAAACAGCGTGCCAGTGGTTGAAGATGTCGAAGTGTTGGAACCAATTATATTAGAGGAAGTTGTAGGTATATTATCTCCGAGCACAAAAATCGATAATGTTATTCCGGAAGCACCAACTTTGCCACCTCTTTCAATTGAAGATAATGTGCCAGTGATTGAAGATGTCAAAATAATGGAACCAGTTATATTAGGGGAACCTATAGATGTGTTATCTACAAGCTCAAGCCTTGGTATTGTTATTCCCGAAGCACCAACTTTACCGCCTCTGTCAATAGAAGATATCGTGTCCGTTGAAGAAGATGTTGAAGTAATAGAACCGGCAATGTTAGAGGAAACTGTTGATGTTATTCTTGAAACACCAACTTTACCGCCAAATGAAAAATTCGTAGCAGTATGCGATAAAGTTGAGCTAATAGAACCGGTTATATTAGAAGAACCTGCAGATATGTGGTCTTTGGTCACAGAGATAAATGAAATTATTCTGGAAACATCCACTTTACCGCCTCTAACAATTGAAGAAATTGAATTAGTAGAACCCATAATAATAGATGAAACTGTTGGTGTTTTATCTGCAATTACAGAAAACACTGAATTCATTGCGGAGACACCAAATTCACCAACGCTTGTAATAGAAAATATTGTGCCTTTTGTTGAAGTGAATGAACTAGAAGAACCGACAATAGAGGAAACTGTGGGTGTATTGTCTGGGATTACAGAAGTAGAAGAAATCATTCCCGATGCACCAACTTTACCACCTATGTCAATTGGTGAAATTGATTTGTTTGAATCTTATCCGAAAAATGATATAATCGTTCCAGAACCTATGATACTTGATGAACATGTCCCGGTTGGTGAGGAAGTAGTAATCGATCCGTATATAAATTTGAAAGAACCAGCATACTATGTGTCAAACACCCAGGAAAATTTGATCATTCCAGGACCTCCGAATGACTTATTTAGTGACGTATCTTTTGCTCTTGTGGAATGTGGAAATCCAGAAGAGCTTGTGAATTTACCGGATTCAAAAACTATAACAGAGCCAGTTCTAGAATCAGACACGGCAGAATATTTTATAAAAGAACGATTGCCTCCACTTATCTTAGACGAGGTCGAGGAAGACGTAATTACGGATGACTCTGCAGAAGTGTTTTCTGCCCATGAGGGGACAAAGCTAGAACTCAACAAAGAACTTGCCAATCCAACTGCGTTGGATGAAATTTCTCAAGCGTATCATTATCAAAAAGTGGAACACCCTAGTTATGTTTCCCTGCCAACAAATGATCAGGGAGTATTTTACTACGGACCAATTATATCCCAACTATCCATCCCTAAACCAGAAAATTCAAAACGCAAATCTTTAAAAAATGTGTCGGTTAAAGGCCGTCCTTATAGGTTTCGTACTTATCCATACCCCAATCTGTCACTAAAAAAACAATCCGAACTTAACAATAAAGTCCTACTTTCTACTTCGTACGCACACGACATTGTGAAAAATCGTATAGCTCCAAACAAATCCTTCAAACTTTTCTCCAAACTTAAAAAACCGTTCACAAATCCTTGGTAATACTCCAAAAATGCCCAGTTAACTGTAACTTTTAATTTAATATTCTTACATTGTACGTAGCTGATTATGAAGTAATAAAAATACAACTGAATAATTAAAATATTTATTTTATTGACCTACCATAATTTACCGGTATAGTTACACATGTTTTTATAATAACGAGATATGAGGAAGAACCCCTCTGTGGTTCGAAACTAGTAGAGCTTTTCTCAACATTTACACGTGAGTAACTCGCGAATTTTAGTTAATATAGTTACACATAATAAAAAAAATGAAATACATAGAAACAATTTCTTCCAATCACAAAAATCTTGAGGTTAAGGACAAAGACACAGGTTTATCTGGTTTATTTATAAGTAACGTTTTTATACCAAGATCTTCACCCATCCATGTTACGTTAAATTCACGAATCAACTAAAAACAAAAGGAAATAAATGAAGCATGAAAATATGTAATTTAAATATGTATAAACAGTATAACAGTAATGTACGAAATTATTTACCCTCATTAGGAAAATGCCTATATTTTGTTCTGCTAATCTCCTTGCTATACATGACCGTGGCCCAAAACCGAATGGCAAGCTCAGGAACGGATGAATATTTTCATAACCCTCTGAATCTCTTATCCACCGTTCAGGTTTAAATATTAATGGATCCTTTACATACTGTGGCATCCGAGAGGCCACAAAGTTTTGAGTTACAATTACTGTCTAAAATGGGACAAAATGATTAGTATAGTTCTTAAATCTAGTTGTTTTTGCTCGTAACCACGCATTTTGATACTTACTCCTTCTGGAATTAAATAACCCCTCAGAACGAACTCTTTTTGGGTTAAACGACCGATGCCAACTGATACGGGGTTAAGTCGTAAACTTTCTTTGATACAAGCTCGTACGTAAGTTGCTTTTGCTAAAGTATCAGGAGTGATTTTCGAATCCTTTGTTGGAAGGAGTGTGGAGATTTCTTCAAACATTTTCTGTTGAACTTCGGGATTTCGACCAATATGATATAATGCAAAGCTGGTTGTATACGCCGTCTGCAATGGTGTTAATTATTATCGAACAATATTGAATACCAAAAAAAGGTAATGGAACGTGTAAACACTCTATGATCATTAAGAAAAATAGCCCGCAGTAAAAAAATATGGTACCTCTTCTTGCCTATAATAACACACCTCAAATTGTACAGACTCTCGCGTAATAAGTTTTCTTTGCATACCTCGATAGTATTATATAATACTAATATTATTAAGAGGTAAAATTTGTAAGTTTGTAGTTTGTATGTAGGGGGTAATCTTTGGAACCGCTAGTCGGATTGCCAAAATTCTTTCACTGATAGATAGCTACAATGTTCCTGAGTGCTATAGGCTATAAAACATCGCGCTACAATTAAATGGAGGCGAGCAGCGGGTGACACCGCGTGAGAGTAGCTAGTTTCAATAGTAATAATATTATCGCTATTTACCGTGTCTATAGCAGCCATGAGAATATCAACCATCATTCCAATGATGTCTTTTAAATCCAAATTGGGTTGCTTCAGAAATGATCCCAACAAAGAAATATCGTCGTCATCAGGTTCTTTAAAATAATGAATTCGGTTGTATAAGATGTCTGTAGATACTCTGTAAAAAATATTGAGAGTTAAAAAGCTTTATGTTCACAAGGCATGTGAACATAAAATGGTCGATAAAACATAAATAACGAATAAAAGTGCAAAGTCGAACTGTGTCATATGAACTTATTTTTTTTTTTAGTCTTACGTTAAAATGACCTTTTTATTATAAATGACCTTTTTATTACTAGAAGGCAGGCTACATCAGTTTCAGATATTGACTTTTAATCTATGATTACTAAACCAAGTCTGCATAGAGATTATTAGCCCGTGTATTGATTGTGTAACTAAGACAAAATGTATTGCTACTATGTCGCCTGTTGGTAACCGACGATGCGATCTACGATGGAGCACGCCTACCCATAAGCAACATATTCACTCAGACCTTGAAGACATTAAAATGTTTTTCAGTTCGGACAACACCGACTCCGGAAAACAACTTTACTCCTTAGCAGTGCTAAACTACACGTCCAATAGAACTTACTTTCTTCTTTTACGATTAGATATTCCATATCTTTGTAATTACTTACTTTTCTAAATACGTCTGAGAATCAGCAAGTCTTTTATAAACAGGAGTTTGGAAGATTTTCCACATAAATCCTTTGTCGAGTTTCATAATTCCACAGTTAGAACCAAAAGCAGCATCAATAGTTTTGCTACTTCTCGAAGATGGACCTTGTTCATCTGGAGAAAAACTTTGAAAACGCTCGTTGAATGCTACAATACCAATGACTGGAAAACAAAAAAAAATAGAAATGTGTATTGTTTTAGTATACGCATTTACTTACATTGTTTACCAAGATTTAGGTGGAACTAATACGACGTATCGATAGTGTAGTTCAAGGGTACGAAACGAGATCCTAGGATCGATCATTTCGCAGAATTATCATGTTCCTGATTTAAATTAAAACCAAATTATTTTGTTCGTTACTGTAAGTAATTTTATTTATTACCTTCTAAGTTCAACCTATTCAAAAAAGGCAAAAAATCTTGATTGTGTGATATGTTTGTTTCTTTTATCCAATTAATAAATTCTCTTATCACTGTGTCAGTACTTTCTACGTGACTTTTAACACTCTTTGGACTAGTGAAATTCTTTTGAAATGTACTCCTTAGTCTCCACCATTCTTGGCCGTTACTGAAAACATATTGCAAAGATATTAGATTGTTATGGATTAGTGGCCACATATTTGTCAGCCTTTATAAAAGTATCCTATTTTTATATTCAAGATGTTATTACCTATATAAAATAATGTCAAGTAATAAAAATGTAGGCGATATATTCCTAATATTCTTAGGAGTTACAAACAAATACGTGAATAAACCGTTGTTGGCCTGGAGGGTAAGGCGCCCGCTTCTTATGCATCAGAATACGGGCTTTTTTGTCAGGGGAAAATCATCTAATGACTTCTCCCGCCCAGGGTAAGACGAGAGACTGTCGGACTCTTTCTGACTAAAATCCTTCGTTCCTTCTCCTACTCTGGGCCGAGGTCACGGTGCCTCATTTCACTTGCCTCGCAACCCCGGCTGAGCATCAGCCCTATTGGGCCCCGTCTGTGGTGGTCTATTGGCTCTTTGAGGCGCGCGCGGAACCTTACGCGCTGTAAGCTCGGGTCTAGTTCTGATCGGGCGGCGAGCTACCCTTACTCGCCGTCCGCAGACCTGCGCTTACGGTTGCCAGAGATCATTTCTCGATCCCCGACACCCGGAATGTCGGAATGGCGCGAGGAGGATAGTTCCGCTCCGCCCCCTCTTTTGCGTGCATCACTGCTTTGCAGAAAGAGGAGACGGCTTCCCATTCCTCTCGCTACGAACCATGGCTTCGACTTAGGCCGGGCGCGAGACGTCGCCGCCGCCGATCACCTCCCCGAGGACACAGCGGTGCTCAGCCCAAGCAGGGCACTCCGCCACCGTATGCTCCACCGTGTCCTCTAGGTGGTCCTCACAATTCCTCAAAAGCTGCCGTGCCCGGTAATCACCAGCGGCGGGCAGAAGGTGAGGACGCCATGGTGTCTCTCAGGATCAGGATACAGGTTGTGGTACAGTTTCAAGCGTTACGAGTAGTGGTATATCAAGATTAGTTAGATACCATTGAGTAAAAATGATAAAGGAACTCATCGTGAGGAAACATGGAATCATAATTTCTGATTATAAATTAATAATTTCTAACTAAGCTTAAGCTACCGTAGTGATTAATGCTCAAACCTTCTTTGTGTAAAAGGAGCCCTTTGCACAGCAGTGGATACTTGTAAGTTGATAATGTGATATTAAATCTCATCCCTTTTTCACTACTTAGGTATGATGATACAGTTTGCCATCTCATAGTGGCGAGCCTTTTAATAACAAGTAACTATAGCTAAGTTAAAAGTATGTACTTGTTTTGATATTCAATTAGAAATAATTTCTAATTTTCTAAGTGCGTAAGTCCAAAGGTTGGTTGGGAGATAGCGCTGTCAGCAATAAGACCAACGTCACGTGTCCTTTGAATGCACTAGCATTAAACTTACATACTTTGTTTATTTTTGTGAGTTTATGTTTGCTGTGACTAAGTAGATTAGGTACCTCAGTAGATAATGTATATTACATTTTTTTTGAATTTTCTAAAGTCCTCAATGAGAACCTTTTTTATGGAATATATGGTAAGCAATCGGCACCGCCCATGGACACCCATGGAGTAACGAGTGCATTGCCGGCCTTTTAGGGATTTTAAGGATAGAAGAAGGCGAAGGGATTAGGCCTCCGGTAACCTCACTTACACGATACACAACGCTGTGGTTGTTTCACGCTGATTTTCAGTTAGGCAGTGGTATCTCTCCGGTCAAGCCGGCTCATTCGTGCCGAAGCCTGAACATAAAGGTGATAATGCAAATTTTGAAACTGTACTCTTGTCAAAATATTTTGACTAACAAATTAGGTCTATGCTAAATAAGATACGTACGTTGATAGTAGTCCGCCAGTATTATACACATTGGGTTTCTTCATACGGTAATGGTACATAGCAATGTGGCTTCTCCTCGCTGGGAACCGATGATCTTGTCGGAATACAGTTTCTATATCATCTGGATCATAAACATGAAGTACCCTGACTCCTGGTGTTTCTCGAACGAGGCTGCCATAACGGCGATAGTTTAACCAAGCGTTTTTGTCTAGGGTTTCGACATCGTAATCTCCTAAAAAACAATAAGAAGTCTAGACGTTTTTCGTAAGATATGTATACTTAATTATAATTTCAAACTAACATGCCAGTAATAAGTACATTAAGTATATTTAGTTTGGCAACATACGACGTTATTCACCGAAAATAATGATTTAACGACAATTAAATTAGGTACCTACTTAACGAAGTTTTAATTTAGATACATTAAAAACTTGCCCAGCTAGCAATCAAGATAACTACTGCTTATTCAAGACCTAGCATTATTAGTGTAGGAATCACTATCATAAATAGAGAAGACACAAAATCAACACGTACCAATAAAAGGTGCATATTTATGAAGCGTCCCTATAATAGGATAACTCCTTGGTCCTGGTATTTCTTCAAAACTCCTTACGTCACATCTATGTGACTTTACACTAACGCGCCTTTTTACGTTCGACACTAAATCCACACATACCAAACGATTGTAAAATATTTTCGATGACTTGAACATTTTTCTACTATTCTCCGTATCGTGCAACCAGATCGCAAGACGCCACCGAACGAAATCATCGAATTACAAACGATCCCGTCCCCACGAAATTATGCACATAACATAAACAAAACAAGCTTGCTACTCGGCGCATGTTGCCTACCTGGGATAATGTACTTTTACACATATCTACAACTACTTAGGTTCGTATCTACGTACCTATTGTAACTAGTTATATGAAGACCATAATTTCATAGTATCATTATAAATGAAGCGTATCTAGTTAAATACTTATTTTGAGACTTATTAACTAACGTAAGTGTGGGAGAGCTATACTTAGGCACGAATGGGTCAGAGTGATACCACGGCCTCACAGAAAACTGGCGCGAAACCACGACAGCGTTGTGTTTCGCCATGTGAGTGAGGTTTTTTTTATCCACTCGGGGTTAAACCCGCCCCAACAACCCGCAAGATATTTATTGCGACGCAAAGCGCAAATCTTATCTGCTATTTGATACAGATTTGTATATGGTATGAATTGGGGCATAATTATGAGACTGATATAAACTTATAAGGTGATTGTTTTCAAAGAAAATAATAATGATTGTGTTTGAGTGTGTTGATGTGTGTAATGTGTACGTGCTAGTGTGTATGAGTGTTGTTTAATGTAGGTATATGAGGTGTGTCATGAAGGTGTTTGTGGTGTGTTCTTCGGAAGTGATTTGTTCAAGATTGTATGGGTTGATTTGGTGATGGTGACATAGTTGTTCGTGTGTAAAGCGGGTGTTTATGTATCGTGGACAGTGTGTTAAGAGGTAAGAGGTGTAGGAATGTCTGTATTGAGGTTACCGGGGAGGCCCAATCCTTCCCCTCCCAAATTCCTAAATCTCCGAGTCCCTTATCCCTAAAAGGTCGGCAACGCACTCGTAACTCGCACTGGAAGACAAATTTTCTGTTTTTTTTTCTCTGGTGAAAGAAACTTTTGTGTAAAGATGAAAGTTTCTATCAAACATTTTTATACAGGCTCTCAAGGCACGCTGCATTTCATTTTACCATACAATTTGTTGTGGTTATGAATTTCAAAAGATTATCTCTCAGTAAAATGTTTATTATTAATAATTGTGAAAAATGTGCTTGAAAATTACCTGTAGGTAAGCTATAAAACCCATAAGTAAAATATCTAATATAATAATTGTATACCTCCCAGTAAAAAAACTATGCAACTATGAAAAAAGTGTATCTATAGGTACTAATATTATAAAGAGGTAAAATTTGTAAGTTTGTATGTAGCTGGGGTAACCTTTGAAACCGCTGGTCGGATTGCCAAAATTCTTTCACTGAGCAGCAGGTGAAACCACGCGAGAGTAGCTAGTATATAATATACATACCTCAGTACTGTAACTAGGTAAATCTATAAAAAATATAAATAATTGATAGGCCTTGTAACGACTACATTTCAATCTGCCTACATTTCAATCTGACAGTTACGCAGCTAAACTTTTTTTTTATGTACCTATACATTTACAAGGATAACATAATATTTTACAGATCCCACCCAGACAGGGAACACACAGCACGACACAGCTCTTTGCATGGTCAGCGAACTATTCGCTGACCATGCAAAGAGCTGTGTCGTGCCGAAAACGTACCTACCCATGAACCAACCGTTACCAATCATCATCATCATCATCATCAGCATATAAGTGCCCATTGCTGAGCAAAAGCCTCTTCTCGCACGGAGAAGGTTAGAGCATTGATCATCACGCTTGCTCAATGCGGGTTGGCAATTTCAAACTTATAATTAGAAATTATAAGTTCAGGTTTCCTCACGATGTTTACCTTCACCGTATGTCAGTGGTGTCTAAATAATCATAGAAAGTACATATGACTCGGAAAAAGTCACATTGGTACTTGCCAGGTTTCGAACCCACACCCTCATGCATGAGAAGCGGGCTCCTTAACCTCCGGATCACCACGACACCGTTACCAATATTATGATCCAATTATTGTTTTTAGCTGTCGTAAACATAGTCGAAGTGATACGCAACAAAAACTGGAAAGTGTATAGCCAATTTGTTTAATTTGATTTTTCATATCATATTAGGTACTGCTCTACACTTTATCAGCTATCAGCATGATTCAGTAACCCTCGGAACAATGTGTATCGTGATAGGGAACACCAATCCCTAATGCGTGTCTATGGTAAAGAAAAAGAAATGTCAATGTCAATTGTGACAAATTGTCAACCTATAAAAAATTGTGTAATTGAGGTTATGTGAAACCAAAATAGATGTCACTCTTTATTTTTAAATATATATAATGTGATATTAGGAACTTGTATTAAAAAGGTAATGTAAAACATTAAATTATGTTCATAGATTTCTTGCCTGTGGATTGAAAAGGGTAAATATTTGTTTACTTTATATAAACTTCTTATTTTTAGATAATATGAAACCTGTATGAATAACAAAGTGAATGAAATTTATTATAGAGGATCTAAATTAAGTAAGGATAAGTACAAATAATACTAATCTATCATGAATACTTTAAAGCGATTATTATGTTCACAATTTGTAAATAAATTAAATAAACAATATTTATTTAAACCAAGAGCTTTCAGCAATCGCCAGTCTGCAAACATAAATATACTGGGTATTGAAACGTCGTGTGACGATACCGGTTGTGCTATTATTAATGGAAATGGTAAAATATTATCTGAGGTGTGTCAGTCACAAAATCTAATGCATTTAAGAAATGGGGGAATCATACCCGATATTGCACAAGATTTACATAGAATGCATATTGAACCAACTGTTAATAAGACATTGGAAGAGGCAAAACTATCAATGGAAGATATTTCAGCTATTGCAGTAACTTTAAAACCAGGACTACCTCTCAGTCTAGTGATAGGCATGAAGTATGCTAAACACTTGGGAAGAAGATTTAACAAACCTATTATTCCCATACACCACATGCAGGCACATGCACTTGTGGCAAGAATGCATCATGATATATCATTTCCATTTTTGGTGCTTCTAATATCAGGAGGACACTGCCTTCTTGCTGTTGTGCAAGATGTTGATCACTTCCAATTACTTGGAGAAAGCATGGACTGTGCCCCTGGAGAAGTTTTTGATAAGGTAGCTAGAAGTATGAAATTGAGAAATGTACCTGAATATTCTCAAATATGTGGAGGCCAAGCTGTGGAGGCTGCTGCATCAAAAGCTACAAATCCTAACATGTTCAAAATGAACTTACCTTTAGCAGAATACAGAGATTGTAATTTTAGTTTTAATGGTCTTAAAACATCAGTTCTATATCATTTGTACAAAAAAGAACAGGAACACAATATTGTAGCTCATGAACTGATACCTGAGGTAAATGACCTATGTGCAGCTATGCTAATGGCTACCACCAGACATCTTATTCACAGGACACAGAGAGCAATGGAATTTTGTAAAGATAATCATTTAATACCTGAAGATAGAAGACAGCTTGTAGTGTCTGGTGGTGTAGCATGCAATAATTATATTTTCAGTGCTTTGCAAATGTTATGTAATGAAACTAATTATAACATTTATAGACCTTTTCCCAAATTATGTACAGATAATGGAGTTATGATAGCTTGGAATGGCTTAGAAAAGTGGAGAAAAGATTTGGACATCACAACCAATTTTAGCTCTTTAGACATAGAGGCAACTAGTCCTATAGGAGAAAGTTTAATTGACAAAGTCAGAGAAGCAAAAATTGCTACCAAATTAATTAAAATAAAAGCAAACAATTAAACAAACAAAATACTCTTTTACTTAAAAACACTTATTTCCCTTTTAAGTAACAATCCCAATGACATTTGTATTGTTGCATTATCCAATAATCAAGATGTGTTTACAAAACCACAATAAACATATAATATACATAACCATAATATAAAGTACTTATATGTGTAATACAAATTAGGATGCGAGCCCTATGACATTTAATTAAGTACTACCTATGTTTGTTAGTGATAATATCACACCATTTATGCCTCCAGACTTTAGCTGCCTACTAGCTAGTCACGTTTCATGTAGTACCTAGAGGCAAATCTAATTACAATCAGAACGTAGTGTATATAATTATTTGATTACAATTTCATGTTCTGTGATATTCCTCTCAGTAGGTAAATAATTTCTTCGAAAACACCAGTACCTACCCTACCAGAGTATTTAAAATCCGCGCTTGTATATTACAATGGAATACTTACAGTCATGTGATAATTGGTGAGGAAATGGGTAGGTACAATTTTGTTGTAAATTTTTCGGATATTTGATATTCAATAAAAATTAAGTAAAGTACCTAAACTAATCAAGCATCTTGTTTAAAAAAAACTATTTATTAAAATCCCTCCGTAGAATTCCTTATGCCATAATAAATTATACTATTATAAAGTTATACTATATTTTAATATTAATCTATAGTATACTATATTTTAATATTAATCTAATAATTAAATGATTATTTACTTTTGTAAATTGCGATCACAGATATTAAAGTTTTGTTTAGCAGTTTAGCAGCAGTAGTCCAACACTATTGACATCTGTCATATGTCATTAATGTTAGCTTTCATTTCCATTGCAATCTGTGTTTGCATTTTGCAATCACCTTTTCTTTGCGGTACGAGTCTATAATGAACAAAATTATAGTATAAATAACTTCACAAACCTTAGCTGTTGCCAAATAATGTGCAGCGACGTAACCTTACTAACGTTGCATTAGTATAGAGTGCAGATTGTTTTGATCTCGTAGTTCGTTTTGTATCAAAATGGATATTCTGGAGAAGATTTACCGGAACGTTCGACAGCAAATCGTAAATTGGTCGGGATCAGTACCAATAACTGTTGATCTTCTGAACAAGTCAGTGTCGAATGTGAAATTGCCACCCTTTACTAAGGACAATGTACTGTACTATTATTTACCATTACAAGGTCTAGTTAGTTACACAACTTTGTCAGTAAGTGTAATGAACCCTCACCTAATGGTCAGGTATGTAAACATTAAAATCAATGACGTCATTTTTGTAAATTTTTTGAAGTTTTTTTAAACGATAATTGTTTTTTACAGATTGTTTCCACAGAGAGATGTAACAGATGTGTTATTTTTAACTGCCGGTGGTGGTGCTGGACTCTGGCTCTGGGCAAGACCACATATGGCGGCAGCAGCACCAGCTAGGCGTTTTTCTTGGGCATTTTTAGGCGGCTGTTTGTGGCCTCTAGGGTCTATATTCTTATGGGCTATATTAAGAAGTTCAGTAGGTCAGAGACCAGTCATAGGCACAGTGTTAGGTGTTACCACAGGAGCGATGCTTACTAATATTGCTTTGGATTATTTCCATTATGTAGAACTAATGTTTTGTGGTGAAGTGCAGCTACCCGATGAGACATACACTCCTAACAGTGATGATGAAAAATATGATATTGATATTTAAACTATTTGTATTATTGCTGAATGTAATATTAATGCATTGTATATTTACTTTTATGCATATTTGGTAGTGGTTAAGTCTTACTATGTTATGTTATTTGATGCACCTTCTAGCATGTTGATGTTGTGTATTTCAAAGTCTGTCTAGTCTCTCACTAAGTGCTTTGAATAAATATTAAAAAACTTCAACTTTGCATTTTAATTTCAAAACTTATCTGTTGTGTGAAAATAATTACTGTTAACCAATGATGATGAATGATATTTTCCTGCATTTGACAAAAGACAAGTAAGTCAATAGACCTTAAGTCGCAAAATTAGTTTATTTTATCAAACAGATTAGTTTATATTTATTTGTCAACTCCAGCAAGCAGTGTTAAGCTTAAGGGGGATCTACTTAACAAATGCCAGAATCATTAAGCTGATCCCCTTGAAGATAGGTCTGAACCCAGCAATATAGAATATTTTCAGACTGGTACCACCAATAATGTGTTTTTTTTTTTCACAACAATAAATGTCCACTTGTAAATTTTAAAGTATATTGTACACTCACCCTTTTGTCATTTAGATATATATTATTACATAACTAATACAGAGCGAAAAACTTTTTAAGTTATGATGCAGACCTATACTACTAATAACAATTCAATTTTGACATTCCAAGTGTTTATGAATTGACATAATCCATATTTTGGTAGTAAGCTTGTATTATTAAGTTTTTGTTATCTCCAGAAGCGAAAGAGATTCGCATTTAAAACAATTTATGTTCTTACATTATCACTATAGATAACATAACACTATAAGCAACATATCACTTCATTGAATATATATTTATTCATACTCCATCATTCTGAGAACCTGGATAGACTGACCACAATTCTTTATCATATATTGCAGAATTATCTTTTTCCTTGTAGATGTACTCTAATTTTGAAATTGATTGCAGCCTACCAATTACCAAGTCATGCTTCTTTGCATTAATTATTTGAGGAGGAAAACAGAGAGAGATATCAAATAAAACCATAATAGGTATATTGTTTTTAAAGTTTATTACAAGTATACAATACATATGGAAATTTTGATTTTAATTACTTAATTGTTCTGAGGGGGCTTAGACCATTCTACATTGAGGATCAAGTGATCATAACCATGACCATTTAGGGTCTGGATAGCCTTAGCAGCATCAGCACGGAACCTGAAGTGAACATAGGCAAAACCTTTGCAATGTCCAGTGCTCTGAAATAGAAAAATACAATATTAAAAATTGCAAATTGTTTTTTAATTTATCTATGTGTTACTATTATATTCTATATTATTTAGAAAGACAGTCCTAAAGATAGTAAATAATATTATGATATTGGGACCTAATACTTTTAGTTATTTCACTAATCTCTGCATACTCAGACACACTGAAAAAACTTTTCATAAAAATTACCTTTTCCTTGGCGAGATACAACTTCTGTACAGGACCGAAACCCTTGACAAGATCGTCAAGATCTGCTTCGACTGCGAAGTTGCTAAGGTTGGAAATACGGATAGCAGCGACGTCATCGCGGCGAGCACCTGGCGGTTCACGTCCGGTACCACGGCCAGCAGCACCCTCGCGCATGAACGGTGCCACGTATTTGTTTGTTGGTGCAGTTTTAGAGTCTAAAGATTAACAAAAAAAATATTACAATGTATCAATGAATGAATAATGAAAAAATAATATAATGTAATAATCAATGTCTCCAGGCTCAGCAGTGAATGTCTTGAGGCTTATATCAAAATTATGATGCTGTTGATAACAATGATTGTGCATTAAATACAGTACCACAACAAGACCAAGATATTAATAAATAGAATCCATGTTATGTATACATAATAATCACTGATACAAATATTTGAGTTGTTTGTAAAACAAGTACTAAACATAACAAATATTGTTATGTTCTACTGGAGAATCTTATGGCCTTAGAATAGGTAAAACAACATAATATTACAGATGAGCACAACATTCTTATGTTTAGACAGTTCAGACTACAATGGACTTAATTTCCATCCAATATTCTCACTCTTTCTCTCTCTCTCTCTCTCTCTCTGTGTGTCTTCAATTTCTAATTTAGAAATTAATATATGTATCTAAAATTAAATAATTATTTGAGTTACCTGCAGCTTTAGCAGCTTCATTAGCTTTAGACTGAGCTAGTTGGGTGTGCTTGAAGGGACAACTCAAGGTCCAGTGCTCTCCTTGACAGGTTCTACACTTGAAGATCACACTGCTGCTTTGAGGCTGAAATATTACATTATGCGATTTCAATAATTCAAATTAAAAGATAGAAATATTAAATTGCAAGAAAGGACTTTGCTAAGCTAAGTTTTGATATGTTTACCTTCAGACCATCAAGTTCACCATCATCAGGACGCTGGCTCTCCTCTTTGCTAGTAATAAACTGCATGTAGACATCTTCAGCTACATTAGTAGTAGCAGGGTTTGGACCAGGTTTGTCATTGGCAGAATCACCAAATTTGCTCCAAGTTTTACGCTTGGCGATGTCCTAAAACAAATAATATGCAGATGTCAGTCACAGATCTCTTTTCACCAGATTTCCACTAGCTAGTATTATAATTAGAATTCTACCCACTGCACTTAGAAAATAAGAACACACACTTTAATTACTTTATGAATTCAGAATGACATGTAAATGCAAATGTTATACAGACTGGATTAGAAAATAAAGTCTTAAGTTCAAATAGTAAATATGCAGACAACTTAAAGGCAGTCCTATCTACATTCTATAAAAACTTTTTAAAGGTTCACTTACCTTAGATACCACACGTTTCTCGATTTTGTAAGTACGGACAATCTTAACCTTCTTGTTGTCATTGTCATATTTATATTCTGTTACAATTTTCAATCCATTTTCAACAACTTCGGATGGAGGAGGCAGTGCTCCCTGATCTATCTCTACCTCATCAGCCCATGAGGACTGGATTTCATCAGCAACAGGCATCTAAAAATATTCAAAGTATTGCATGAAGTATGAATAACAATATAAGTACACAAATATATAAAATATTGTTTGTTTGTTTGTTTGAACTATTTAAAATACAACAAGTTGCAGTGATTTAAAATCGTCAGTATGAATAGTAAATAGTATGTAAAAACGTAAATGAATGTTTCTACGTTATCAGACTGCAAATCTCATCATTTGTACAAAAAATAATAGAAATTGCAACTTTAATGAGTTATTCATCTAAGGATTTCTCCCCGAACAGTTTTGCATACACATACATAACCAACACAGTAATACAATATTACAAACTTGTGTAGTTATTTGGAAAACATTGATTCTTATTGACAGGAATATTTTACGTCTAAGTGTCTAAACTTAATTAATAAATATATATAGGAACATAAAGAATAGTAACAAAACAGAGTAGTTTCGCTGCTGAGAAGATAGATAGTGAAAATAATGTAATGACGACAGCAGCCTGCCGAAGCGAAATCCCGTCATAAAACTTTTTGTTGGTTATAAAACGTGAACACACACATCTTTATAAAACAGTTGAATACAAATGCTACAACAAGCAACAAGTACTTACGTTTAATTTGTTATCTTTTTGAAACTTTCTAGATAATTTCGTATCCTCTGTATTGTTTCAGCCTGCTCGATATGACAGAAGGATTCTACGACAAATCTTGATTCCCTTCAAAAAATGTTTCTCCTCCCTTCCCCCGTTCTCCTCAACCAGTTCTTTTTTTTTTTGAGTTTATGGCCTGGATACAAGTCTTTTATGGAAACCTCAACCAGTTCATATTTTATTGTGTGCTGCCATAATGCAAATTATAAAGGAACATTTTTTTTAAGTTTCATTATTATTGTCTAATGTTAATAATTTTAGAGCCCTTTCAAATAAGTAATTATTTGAAAGGGAACTTTAACTGAAATCTAAATTTATAAGTCAAGGCAAAAAGTGTAGGCAGAATACAAGCCATACCAAACAAAGTGTCTTTATCCCAACTTTAACCTTAAATATTATAATTGATTTTATTAAATGATTGATTGATTGATTTCATTTAATCGAAACAATTTTTTATTGTTTTTTTTTTATTAATTTGGATGAAATAATAGTCTGAACGACAATAAAATTAGTATGTTGCATAAACATACTATTTTTAAGTGTTGCAAGTTTAATTTATTTTGCTATTGTCGAAATGACGATTGGGTGGCGCTGGTTGGCGTGTTATTTCGTGAAATAGTTAATATTATCTGTTAAAAACAGGGGCTTCAAACTTAGAATAAAAAACTGGGGACAGTAATGGATACAATGATACAAAATGACGAAGTCTGACGTAGCCAATGTTCAAAATGAGTTTTAATGTGTTTTTAAATTTGTCGGGTTACATCGTGACGTAGACGGATGATGTTAACAACATGAATAAGAGATGGCAGTTTGGTCTTCTTTTTCGCTGTAGATCCAATAGATGGCGTTAGAGAATGATAATGAAAATAATGCTGTGTATGCATGCACACACACAAAGAAGAATGTCTGCTGATAGCTCGCTTGCACCGGTTATTTTGCGATATTTTGTTTGTGATCTCCTTTTTGTGTGTCGTTCTGAATTTCTCGTCGAGTTGAGCTTACGTTCCTCCGAGTAATGCATAATTGTGAACAGAGAAGGTTTTTCTAATTGAGGCAGGATTCTTGTGAGTGAAGTTAACCTACAATGTCTTCGGGCAGATACTGCTGTGTCCCAGGGTGTAAAGAGAGAGGAGGTATGCCAGACCAGCTATTTATTTATTTAACACAAGCTTCTTCACTTCTTACAACAGCAACAAGTTTATGTGTAACGAACTCATAAACTTGTTGTCAATCCCAAACAATACAAATCAAATTAAATGTACTATGACATTTAATGAAATCAACAGCACAAGTAGACCTATATTTTAAAACCTATAGCAATATACTTATAAACTTAATTTATTTTTCTCAAGCCCCATTTTGACTTAAGACTAGCTACTAAATATAAAACATTTTAAAGTGCACCTAAAAAAATATTTGATTGAGAGGTGCTACTATAATTTGACAGAATTTCTAACAGATTCCTAACATTACGACCTTTGATTATTAATATTAATAATAATACATATTAATAATCAAAGATTATGACATTTTTATCCATCTGTTATTCAATTGGTTCCTTTAGGTTTTTTTTTTTGTGTTTATCTTTGTAATGCCATGTAAAAATCATTATATTAGTTTTAATTAAGTTAATACATTTGTACGCTGTTAGCCACAGCAAAACATGAAGGTTATTGTACTCCTTTTAACATCCTACATTACAACATATTAATATGTATCTTGTTCTGTATACTCGTGTTTTACAAATAAATTATCTTTATCTTTACTGCCTATCATGTTTTTTTATGAGTTTAATGGAGCCAATATTTTTATTGCAAGTTTACATATTTTATAATAAAGTTGATATCTTGACAATGCAGCTGATGTTATGTGTGTGAATTTGATTATTTTTCAATGATAAAACTTTATTATTTATTTAAGGTATGCATCAAGTACTTCATGGGTTCCCGAATCCTGTAGTTGATAGAGAAGGCTTCAATACTTGGCTGTATGCAATTAACAGTCTTGAACTTGTTTGAAGAATGAACAAATATTGAACCATAGAGTGTGTCATGCTCACTTTGAGGATAAATATTTGTGCCGTAACAACAGAATCAGTAATATTGCCGTGCCAACATTGAAAATGCGCTGTAAGTATAACACTACATATTGCAAAATACTTTTGGATAAACACCCCAGGTTACACACCCCCAGTGCTACATTGTCATATGCAACATGTCAGAATTGTAAGCATTTTAAGACTGATATCATAAAAACTCTTATATGTATATAAAATTCTTGTGTCAGAATGTGACTAACTCCTCTGAAATAATTTTATCAAATTTTATATCCACATTCAGTAGATCTGAAAAATTGGCTAATATTTCCTACCCCTAAATGATAAGAGTGGTTCATCCATAACATTTTTAACAGAGTTAAACCACACAAGAACTTATATTACAAAACCCTAATATTACAATATTATTTTAAACATTCCAACATTCTTATTTTGCGTAAACAAAAGTGTCTCACAGGCTAGTGTTATGACAAAATTTATATTTAATGCCTTTGTAATTAATTGCTTTATTCAAATACCTATGTTTTATTTTTCAGCATTACTGTCTCGGACTTCGTTAATAAATACCACCAGACAGCCTTTGCAGCAAATTCAGAACCTACAATCAACATAATCAGGTAAATATAAATGACACCAATTCTTCCCATGGTTGCCGGGTTCTACACCTAGCAAATGCTAGTACAATGTCAATGTACTTTACAAGTTTATCGAGGACATTGGTGACATTGTAAAGCATAAAATTATGTATAGCTGCCTGTTGTTAATCGTAAGACATTGACGGTTGTTACATTTAGTCAGAAGCCAGAAAGTTGGTCATCATGCCATCATCGATTTATTTCACTTCATAGCATCTAAAACGTATAATTATGTAATTTTTTTACTAAATAATTTGAAGTGCTATATATATTTGCTTTTTTTTTCAGCACCGTTGACTCCTCCTTCAACCACTAGCCTACAACAACTAAATCTGGGCCATGGACCATCACCCTCAAGTAATTATAATTTAATTAAATCCCTGAATGAGTCCACTTCATTCTCCAAACAATAGCTATACCAATGTTTATGATTTAAAGTATCTCATTTTAAAGGGCACAACTAGAAGCTAATTTACTTATTGTTGATGAGTAAATAAGTGCTTGTGCAGTAGACTGACTAAATATCGTGTGTATCCTATATGCATTACTTGAAACAATGCACAAAAAAGAAATTAATGAATCTCAGTCACCCAGGCACTTTCTCATGTAGTCCCCGTCCTTATTACGCTACAACATATTCATTCGGTACTATGTAGATATAACGTAGTAAGCACACTTTAAAGTGTGGTTAGACTAATAAGTTTGGGTTTGTCCAACAAATTATGGATTTTTTTGCAATTGTTGACTTCAAATTGTTTTTGTTCAAGTTTACATTTTATACTTATATATTTTTTTCCTTTATTTTAGTGGCGCCATATACAAAAATTATAAATTCGTGCAATTATTCATTTCAGGTCTCACAGCTACAATGCAAGAAGCTGCTTTACCAAGTACTTCAGAAACGAATGTGCATCTTAATCTAGGTAAGTTGTGCAAATAAAATCTTGTGTATAACTAAAAAAAGTTTTGAATAAATAGATTAACTTTATTTAATTTATATAATTACAGGAGAAAAAACAACGGTGAAGAAAGCTAAGAGTCGAGTATTCCTTACGAATACAGAAAAGTACCTACAGGATAAACTTGTTGCTGCAAGTATTAAGTTAAGCAAAATGAAAAATAGATTTAAAAAACTGTCTGTCAATGTAAAAGCAGCGAAACAAATTGCATCCAACCCTGCAGTATGCGACATACTAGAAAATTGTACGAGTACAAGAAAATTATTAATTAGTATGCAATGTCAAGAGGACCACAAAAAAGAAAAGGAGCGACGTTTTACGTTACAAGAAAAAATTGCTTCCTTATCTATTTTTAAGCAAAGTCCCAAAGGATATAGATTTCTGAGATTTTTTTTATTTTGCCTGCTCAGCAAACACTAATTAAGTTAGTACAAATTTGTAACATCAAGCCTGGGATAAACAGTAATATTTTCTCTCAATTGAAAAATAAAGCTGACAACATGAAAATAGAACAAAGGTTATGTGTTGTTGTTTGACGAAGTTTCTTTGAAGAGCAATGTTGCATATAACGAGAGAAAAGATAAAATCACAAGTCTTGTTGACAATGGGCAAAACAGGAAAACTGAATTTGCAGATCATGCTCAAGTCTTTATGTTACGTGGCTTAATTTATAATTATAAGCAGGCAATATCATATACATTCGCGTCGAGTGCTACTAAGGGACCTGAACGAGCTCAACAAATAAAGGACGTGATAAGAGGTTTGCAAGAATCAGGGTTCATAGTTGTTGCTACTGTATGTGACCAGGGTCCTAATAACAGACAGGCTCTGAAACTGTTAATTAATGAGAACAGGGGAATTTATTTGAGAAAAGGTGAAGAGCCTAAAGAAAATAAAATTTTAATAAATGGTCAAGAAATTGTACCACTTTATGACCTGATGATGATGACACTGATGACATCTCCTCAAAGGAATTAGAAATAACTTTATGTGCAAAGATTTAGAATTCACCAAAGATGGTGTAACAAAAATTGCAAAATGTTCGCATTTAAATTTACTTCTCAAAGAAAACCCTGGTTACAAAGGCATTAGGTTGATTCCAAAATTAATGGAATATCATATCAACCCTCTAAAAATTAATAAAATGAAGGTTAAATTTGCCTCACAAATATTCAGTCGTACTATGGCGTCTAATATGGGATACTTGGCAGGTAATGTATGTTTTATTTATTTATTCAAACTTCATGCACAAGGCGGGTACATAGGCGGACTTAATGCCTAAGGCATTTTCTACCAGTCGAGCCTTGGGTGATGCAGAGCTGTGCCGGTGCAAGAAGCAAAGCAAACAGACTTTATTTTATATGAGTCAAAACGAGATAGATACATATATATGTGTGTGTGTGTGATAGATACATATATTTGTTTTATTGTATAACTAGAATATGCAACAAGCGAATGTACTATTCCGGAAAATCTAATATCTCACGAAAGTGTTATAATCAGTCACGTTTTGAAAAAATACTTGTTACGTGTTTGAAATCAATTGAAGTAGTTTGCAAAAATAAATATAATTCAGAACTTTAGGCGATTAAACTGTCATACAATTTTTTTTTTCAGGTAAGAACATACTTCCCGCTGAGTGTAAGGACACCGCTGATTTACTGCTGTTCATGGACAATATCTTTGACTCCGTGAATGGCAGTCGACAGAAAAATAGAAATGCAAAACCCTTACTAGGGCCAGCAACGCCAAACTCGGCACATCACCAAATTTGGATTGAGGGAGTACAAATTTTTAAATCGATGAAATTTGTATCGAATGGTAAAAAACAATCGGTTCCCTCCATTACCAATTGGGTGTGGACACTGAGTAGAATAAATAAACTACAAAATGAGTTTAACGTGTCGTCAGTGTGGTTGCGGCATCTTAATCAGGACCCCTTGGAAAATTTCTTTGGGGCGGTAAGAAGCCAAGGGTGCCGCAATACTAATCCCACCTGCGACCAATTCGAATCGGCTTTCACCACATTATTAATAAATAATATAAGCAGTGTCCACACCCGCGGAAACTGCGAAAAAGACTTTTGCGATGCATTGTATTCTCTCACCATCAACGAAAATGCAGAAACAACGTCAACCTGCTCATCGTTTGATTTTTCAAACATTATTGAATTTAATTTTACACCTATAGAAATTAAAGAAAGGGATCCCCGTATTGTTGGACCTCTCCAATATATAAGTGGATATTTTTTGAAGAAAATTAAATCTAAAATATTTAAAACTTGTACAGGTTGTTGTAACCTATTAATGAAAAAAAAAGGAAATTGAGTATATAAAATATAGGGAATACGCAGGTCGACGATGGCTTTGCACTCCCAGCAAGAAGTTAATAGAGCTGATTTCCAATATGCAAGATTTAATCAAACAAAAGAAAATATAGAAAAATTATATTTAAAGCTAATCATTAATACAGCTGTTAGTAGTTTTGTTGATTTTACATTTATAAAATGTATAATAGAGAAAAAATAATCGATTTTTTAATTAATATTGTTATTAGATTTATAATTTTTAATTACTGTAAAAATATCAATATAATATTAGCTGGGAGAAAAGATGTTGATGATGATGAGAACAAATTGCAAGTTAAAGCTAAAAAGTTAAGCGAGTACTATAGAAAAAACAAATAAACTAGATTTTCATCAAATATGTTGTTTCATTTATACCTCTTTTTGTTGTAGCAGTAGATAGTGTAATTCACTATAAGAATTGTAAAATATTTAAAGTGAATTACACTGTCTACTACTCGTTTCAGTCACGTAGTTGAGCAGTAACGAAAAACAACCAACAATCTATAGATGCACATCCATAGTATAGATATGGTTATATATATAATAAAAATGTTGTCTAACATGGATTACAGATGGCGCTGTTAGTAGTTACCCAATTTGACATCGAAGATTGGTCTCTATTTCCTATTGTTAAAATGTACTCTGTGGTTAAAAACATAAAGTTTGTACAATAGTTTGTAGGCGTGCTGGATTTGTTCACTTGTTGAGTACAATATTTGTGGTTTTTTGATAAAAGAATAAATGTAATATCGTATGTTCTAGTGGGTGTGTTTCAATCCTGAGTTGTTGTATGCAGAAGTATTGAATTTCGTAAGTTGTTTTTACTTTAAAACTTTAAATGAAATGATGTCAAAATCAACTGATAAAAACTTGTTTGCAACTTTTAAGTACATATAAGTAGGTAGCATATCTTCCTTCCACTTTAGCAAGTTAGCTTTGAAAGTAGCGTAACGCAGTATTGACATACGACAAATTATTTCCTAATTTAATTAAGTTTGCAAATGAGTTGAACTATTTTACAATTACATCTGGTAATGCAAGTTTACAAAGATTTAAGATTGCAATATCTATTACCAAAATATTAAGAACACATGAGTATAAACAACATCTAAAACAATTTAGTGTTTATTCCTTTCAGATCTCGTCCAGTTAAGGATGTTGCGCTTTCTGAGTCGGAGGGGGCGTTCATCAAGCCAAAATCGCAATAAACAAACCCAAAAGGCGTCTAGCAACAAAAATTTAATACAATGTAAAGTGCTATTACTTGATGACACAGATTTGTCTATAAACTTATCTAAGAAGGCCAGCGCCAATGACCTTTATGAGCAAGTATTTTATTCTCTAGATTTGATAGAAAAAGATTACTTTGGATTACAATTTACTGATACCCATAATGTTAAACATTGGTTAGATCCCACTAAAACTATTAAAAAACAAGTGAAAATAGGACCACCTTACACTCTGCGACTAAAAGTAAAGTTTTATTCATCTGAACCCAATAATTTGAGAGAAGAGCTTACTAGATATCAGTTCTTTTTACAATTAAAAAAAGATATCTTAGAAAGCAAACTTGAATGTCCACATTCCACTGCAGTTGAACTGGCAGCTTTAGCTTTGCAATCTGAGCTGGGAGACTTTGATGAAAATGTCCACACTCCTGCCACCGTGTCAGAGTTTAGGTTTGTACCTAACCAAACAGAAGAAATGGAAATTGAAATATTAGAAGAGTATAAAAAATGTAAAGGTCTAACCCCAGCACAAGCTGAAGTCAATTATTTGAACAAAGCAAAATGGCTTGAAATGTATGGTGTTGACATGCATATTGTTTTGGGCAAAGATGGCTGTGAATATCACTTGGGGTTGACACCAACAGGCATACTTGTCTTTGAAGGACCTCAAAAAATTGGTCTATTTTTCTGGCCCAAGATAAGCAAGCTTGATTTTAAGAAAAAGAAACTTACACTTGTTGTGGTGGAAGATGATGACCAAGGTCGGGAACAAGAGCATACATTTGTGTTCAGATTACATAATGAAAAAGCCTGTAAACACCTTTGGAAATGTGCTGTTGAACATCATACATTTTTCCGACTGAGGGCACCAGTGAAAGGACCTTCAGCTCGACAAAACTTCTTCCGCATGGGATCTAGATTCCAATATTCTGGAAAAACAGAGTACCAGACTACTCAGCAAAACCGAGCCCGACGCACTGTTCAATTTGAAAGACGACCAAGTCAGAGATTTGCTAGACGACAAAGTCATGTTTTGAGGGAACGTGAAAAACAAAATGTAGTCAAACCAGAAACTGCACAACCTGAACCAGCTAACGAAATTCCTAGCACATCAGCTGACACAGCAGTGCTGTTGCCTGACGTTGATACATTATCAAGAAAGAGTAGTGCTAAATCACAGAAGTCAACTCTTATTGATGCTGAGATTAAACCTGAGATTGGTGAGCCATCTACAAAGAACCTTCTTAATGAAGAACCAGCTGAAGAAGTGTTGATGTCGAAAGATGACGCTATTAGCAACAAGGTGCTATTCAAAATGGACAAATCTCTAAATGAAGAAAAGAAGAACAATTTAACTCAACTTGTAATCAACAAACCAGCTTGCAGCTGTTCACCTGTTAATGAATCAAACCCGCTCAATGATCTCCTGATGAGTTTAGTTAAGGAAAAACTTAATAATGATGATTCCAAAAATGAAGCAAAGAGAGATCAGTTGGATTCAGCAAGTGACAAGGAAGTACCTAACAATCAGACAAAATGCTACCTGACTTCAACTAAGGCACTACCACCAGGACAATTAAAGTGTAATAATATTTTGAAAGCTAGAGAAAATGAGGTGAAAGTCATAAATGAGTCTACTAACATTAATTTGGCCATACCATCCACACCTTCACCAAAAATATTGAATGAGCCTACAAATCCAATCAATTCTCAATATGTGTCAATTGTGGTGGTGGAACCTCCTCATAACCAAGCAAAATTATCATCTCCTAAACCAGTCGAGAAAAAGGAGGATGTAACTCCCAAGGTACAACCTATATCATCACTTTCTCCCTGGCTTGTCTCTTCTGAACCAAGCTCACCATCTGGAATTGGAGAAAAGGAAATAACAATAATCCACCGTAAGTCCGTTATCACTACACAATTGTAGTAATATGGGATCAAAATTGATGACAATTTTCTTTAAAAAATGACAAAATAGAGTAATATTGCATGTTTTGCTTTTAAATAATAGAATTATTATTTAGTGCCTTATAATAATCGCCTATTCGTAGATTTAGTAACATATAATCAATGTACTTAATTTGAAAAAAACATTGACAAAAATTTATTAATTGTTAGCAATGATCTCCAATATTTTTCTACACAAATTATGACACGGCGTTAGGTTTAATTCCAACTTAAGTGCAACTGATTTTCGGAAAACTAGTTTTGTCGTAAGCTAAACTAGTTCGTCCGAAACACCTATATTAGAACCGTCCAAAGCACTTGAGAATAAACATTCCATTTATCTTAGTATAAATTTTCGCTTTCAAAGTTTCGACGGAAACCTAAAGCGAGATGATACCTTTATTACTACAATATGTTAAATAATAATGGGTCATCTGGTTTCATTCCGCTTGGGTGTACTAAGTAGATATCGATACTTTAAACATGTCCTTGTAGCTTTCCACTGTTGCACTCAGCATTTCTTCTAATTATGAGTGCTTCTATATAAATGTATCTGCTCACATTACAATTGAATTTATTTTTGTACTTAAATAAATAAGAAGTTTCTGTACATTCCTATAAAAGTCTTACACGAAACACGACGCGAAAGTCGATCCAGAGACAGAAATCTTAAACTGAGATGAGTATTTTCAAGGTTACAATGTACGACAAATACATTGATTAGGCAGCTCTCTCGTATTTTAATGTATTATTTATTCTTTAAGAAGAATAATATTAAATATATTACGATATATTCGCTACAGTGGTAAGTTTGTACCATTGTACTTATGTATTTTTATACATTTTGCGCTTTCTCAGTATCAGCTTTCGCGTCCTTGATAGTATATATTTAAAGCCAGTGCATATTAAATATCTGTGCTGTTTTTAACAGCAGTAGATAAATTTTATCTATCTTGTCAGTTTGAAATATACACTCGACTGTAATATTTTAATGGTAAGTATTTATGATGCCGTCCTTATTAACAATCTATTGTAAGTCTGTTACGCCTTTTAGCATAAGTACAACATATCAGTATTACAAAACGAATAAAAGAACTTGGAGTAGGTGCCATAGTCTAATAAATTGCCATTCATTTATACTCTCAAAATCATATTGCATCAAAATATGTATCGCCCATTTGAAATTATAGATTCACGTGCCCGCATTCGAAATTCAGCCATTCTATATGCATTTGGTTTGGAAGTGTATATATTATTTGTTTGTTATATTGGCAATGATAAAAGTTTCATATAATAAATTCTGATTGACGTGATTATTCGTGATTTATATTCGAACGTTCGAGAAAAGCTGTTTTATTCATGACATAACAACATAATTTATGGAATTGATTTGTTTAATTTTAATGTATTCGTCACCTACATACTTACAATATAAAGTTCAATCTGTATACATTATTAATAAGTCCATATAATCTATATATTTTTTAAGGTTTGCATATTATATTTTTGGTTTATCAAAACATTTTACGTTTATGTAGCAGTATAGTTTACGGTGACCGTTATTATTAAAACTTTTATATAATACAAATAACGTGCCAATTAACGAATATAACAAGGTGCTTGGGAACAATTTATAGTTAGTTTGTATAGAATCTCGGTGAATGATAATAGGACATGTCTCCAAATATTTGTACAAAGCAGTCACAACCCTATGACCAACGATATAATAATATGATGTATTTTTAACATGAATACCTGTTAAAATAATGTTGTCTTAGTAAAATAGTTATAATAGTTAATAATAAGTTACAATAATTGCATTGGTAGGTACTAGGAAGTGTTGTAAGACATTTTATTTTTTATTAATATTTAAATAAGCCAATCATATCGAAATATACATAATTATAATAAATGTAGACAATAAGCGCAGTACTTAATTTGTTATTAGAAGTACTTAATTATGCTTGGATTTTAAATCAAAGTTTTTGTAGCGAGTAACTCGTGAAAATTGCCTTTATTCAACGAGTGATGCTTAATTGCTTAAAAATGTTAACGTTTTGACATCTGTAGGTAACTTTTAAGTTTTAATATATTTTAGTCGTAAAACTTTTAAGTTCTTTCGAAGTTAAAGACTAATATTGATTTATTTTAGTGAGATATCGCACTCAGGTGCCTCGATTAGGTATGATTTAATTTAGAAACGCTGCAATTTTAATCGTCCTTTAAATTTATAATGACATTATTCTATTTTAGCAATTTTTGTTAAATTATTTACTGGATTTATTTTAGATCTAAGACAAAATTTACGTTTACATGTATCTAGCTACAATATATTTGTGTTAATTGTTCGTATTGTTTTAAATAATCTACGATATGTCTACATATTGGTTTATAATAAAATATTTATTTTACTCCATTTGCGTATTATTACTGAACGAACCTCAACTTATCTCTCCAACATAGATTTGTTTATCTTACCTCCAAAGATCTCCTTTGTGAGTACACAGCATCATCATAACTTCATACAAGCTCATTTACACGATATGTATTATTTTCGTGGGCATACAAGAGTAATAACTGAATTCAATAAAATTACATACCTAGGTAATATTATGTATTGTTAATTTATTGGTTTAATTAACTGCAGGCCACAAGCATGAAACTTTATAGGTTGAAAACTGACCACAGATAACCATTTACTAGTGTACGAACCTAATATTTTTGTAATGTTTTTAATACCTTAAAATTGACAATACGTCAATGATTACGTCATATTGCCACAAATGCTTATATTAAAAAATATAATACCTAATGATTTGCGATTGAATCAAACATTTCTAGACAATGATGAAGAAATCAATAGACAAACTGTCTTCAGACAAATCGTCGATAGATTTAACTACTATGTATTCTCACAAGAGATATTTTATAAATAATCTAGATTCGTACCATGGAGAGTATTTCGTGAAGGAAGTGGCAAAGGTGTTCGAAAAAAATAATGTAGCATCAACACGAGACACCTCACAATCGCTTCTCGGGGAAGATGTGGCACTTTCAGAGCCCCCTCCGCCTGAACAGCCCTACGAAATTATTGGTAGGCATCTAAAATTTATTTTGTATGTATTCCAGTATGTTGTAGCGTTGTAGCATCCACTTTTCGCCAGTGCAAGTTCGTAAAAGAAAAGCTTAATTATTTAGTCATAGATTGCTTTACACGTAATATGGATATGTCCGTCGTAAGATAAACACCTCTATAGCACCTAGATAATCTCATTAGCATGGGAAAGCCATGGTTCGGCACGAATGGGTCGGTTCGACCGGAGCGATTTCACGGCCTCACAGAAAACTGTGAAACAACCACAGCGTTGTTTCGCCGTGTGAGTGAGGTTACCGGAGGGCCAATCCTTCCCCTTCACTATTCCCTCCCCAGCCCCTAAATTTCCAAATCTCTAATGACTTAAAGGTCGGCAACGCACTCGTAACTCCTCCATTGGTCATCATCATCATCAGGTAATCCGACTGCTCGTTTGCTGACCTATTTACATAAAAATTAAATCCGGATAATCTTATCCAATCTACTTACATAGGAACTGCTGTTACTGAAAGTACCAAGGACAGGGAGTTTGTTACGCGGATTGTAAGAAAAGAAGATAGCATTCGACAAATGCTGACATGTGGCACAGTCATTTTCGATATTAGTGTCGATAGAGAAGAACTTAAATTGGCTATGGAATATCTGACAGGTAAGCTTCCTACTTGTAAAAAACCGAATAAATTCAATACCTACATAGGTACCTATATTATTAGCCACAAGAGATCAACTAGTATACAATAGGAGAAAATCTTTAAAAAGCTTCCTTAGCTTTTGGGGAGACAGAGAGTTTAAGATTTTTATCAAATTAAAAAAAACCGTTTAATTACAAATAGAGCAGTGAAAACCAGATATAGGACACAGTTGTAGACTTAGTGTCTTATTATTATGTTCTATGTACCCACACTCTAAGAATTGTAAATTTTCAGTACTGAAGCAGTTGCTAGAAAAACAGGCACTGACTGGAGACGACGATGCTGGCGAACCTAGCGTCGCTACTGGTCCTGATATTAAGAAGCGCTACTTAATATTAATATCCACCGTTATGACTTGGGCTTCCACCAAACCCTTAGACCCGGTAAGAACAAATTACGACAATCATAATTTATAGGTATGTAGGTTTTTACGACTAGAATAGATATGTTCATGTTAAAAACTACATAAATATCTGGAACAGGATGGAAACAAATTGTTAAACTGATGATAATTTGGTAGGTTATGTACACATTACACACATTACATAGAACTTTTTAGGTACTTACATGTTTTAAGATAGGTAGGTATATATTTTAACTTTTTACGTTAGCCAGTTAGGTTGCCCAGTTAGTAAGTAAACGTAAGTAGCTAGTTAGGTGTGCTGAACTTCTTCTATGATTTTTATTTTCAGGATACTCCAGAGATGCCTTTCGTGGAAACAGATTTCCGAAAAAGGAAGCCGCATCCTAATTATAAAATGCATTATGACGTAGAAAATGAAGTGATTGGCATAGCTAGAAAATATAGAAAAATGATTGGGTTAGTTCCAAAACTTATGAGAGTAGAAGTTGTACCTACCTACGTGGTTTTTTTATGTGAAAGAACGGCTTATTAGCATTCGAATAACCACAGAGAGCAACAACAGAGGAGTTACAAATCTGACCTTTTAAGGATCAGGGATTTGGAGATTTAGCGTTGAGGTTACCGGAAGCCTAATCCTTCCCGGATTGGGCTTCCGGTAACCTTATTCACACGGCGAAACACAACGCTGCGGTTATTTCTCGCACGATTTCGAAAAAACAAAAGCAACACAAAAATTGCGCCTATACCTAATTATCTACCAAACTAAACCATATAAGTATGTTTTTAAACAGAGCTCTAGTAGTAGCTTCAGGAGTGACCTACGGAGGCAAGGAAGACGTTCTTTTCTACTGGTTCCAAAAGGCATGGGAGTGTGAACCGATTCTACCTATTTTGGGCCGAGGGAATAACACAGTGCCTTTGATAAATATTGTGGACTTGGGGAAGTGAGTACAAGGTTCAAGATATTTTACAGATAATATTCTATCGGATCAGGCAATCAAACCGGTAAGGTAAAGATTTTTAAGTATCGTATTTTTATTGATACCAAAATTTAAATAATTTTGTCTCACTTCGGAAGGATTCTTCGCAATAAAGGCTGCTTCAATGTTGGTAGTGACCATGGGTCCACTGTTTTTTGGCAAATTATCAACGCACGCACGTAAACCGGTACATTACTTATAAGTGTAGTTTAAAATGAACCTATTTGTCTATCCATAAGGTTAATGACTAATGTATGAGGTAAATTAAAGTAGTGAATAACAAACTTCTGCAACAATTAATTTTCCAATTAATCATACTACCAGGATTGTCCGCAATTTACTATTGGACTTTCCGAAGAAGTTATACTTATTGGCGGTGGAACAGAATGTTTCGAAACAAAGAGATGTAAGTAACAATGTAGTTTCTTATCTCTTCGACTACCTAGCTAGAGCGTAAGATAAAACATTCCCGTTGCAGATAGTGAAACCACTCGGACGACAGGTTGGTTCTGGAATGTTCAAATGCATT